CGCCATGAAAGATGTTGCCATCCTTGGATCGCAAGTCATTCTTCCAGGCGCCCGCGAGGCGCGTGAGGCGCTCGTGAAACGCCTTGCTATCGATTTTGATCTCCGCCATCGTCGCTGCGAGGTGAGTGACGGATGTGGTGGCAGAGAAGGGGGTTTGAAGGACGAAAGGTTCCAGGTTGCTGCTGGCGACGCGAGATCCGAAAAATCCACCGCGTAAATTGGGCGAGGCAGGAGCTGTTCACGTGACCGCGTCGCGCCTTTGCTTTTTTCAGTTCAGTGCGTGGTTGTCTGAGTGAAGGTTCGTGGCGCGTTAATTAGTGAAGGAAACAGGGGCGAGCTTGCCTGAAGCGTGCTGAAGGAAGTTGGGTTTTAGGCAGACAGTGCGGTCGGTCAGTGCCGGATCAACGTCAGAGCTTCAATTCTTGGGAACTCTGGACATGCTGGTGTTTCGCAAGTCAACGTATCCACGTCGACTCGAAGTCTAGAAAGTTTCAATGTCGTCGAAGCGATTGGCTTTCTTCTCCGTGTGATAGCAAAACGTTCTTGCGGGATTGAATAGAAAGCTCCAGGCATCCCTCCATTATTGCAAGGCAAGCAGAATGCGGATCAATAAGTTGCCTGGGAGAGTAGAGCTGCAACAGCTGGGTTGTGTAAGTAGCCTCCCTAAGGCTGAATCTTTCAGTATTGCGGATCAGTTACAAATTTGTGGACAGCCGTCCTTCGATAAAACCAGGCGCAACTGCAATTAGCCGGCTGGTCTTGCGGTGCTGTGTTCTCGCAGTGCCCAACGGTGCATGAAGTTTCTTAACGGAAAGTCGCCCGCCCTTGAAGCTCTTGGGACCCGACACCGGCGAAGCGCCGGGGAAAGCGCCGGGACAGTGTTCAACCGGGAGAAAGGTGAGGGAGGGGAAGAACAATCGCTCGGCCCTCCCGATTCTCGGGATGTGGAGACGGGACTTACAACCCCGCGCTCCTCCGGAATCTCTTTAAATATAACACGTTTGGACCTTACATATCAACCAACACACACAATACTTCTCTCCTGTGTATTTGAACCAGTCCTCCCGCTATCACGAGTTTCATATGCCCCCTTTGGACAGGTTTCTGACCTTCTTTAGACCCAGAAAGACGCCACACATCCCACCAACGACAAATCACCCCACCCCCAAATCCAAGATGCGCATCCCCTACGTACCCAACCCACCACCGACCTCGACGCCGGAAGAGGCCGCCATCGTCTCTCGGATCCAAGCCCGCCGCAGCCCCCGGCCTCTGCAGTCCCTCGACCTGGCCCTTCTGCACGCCCCACCCGTTGCCGACGGCTGGAACTCCTTCCTCGGCGCCATCCGCACTCAGACCACCATCCCCGCAGACCTGCGCGAGCTCGCTATATCGCGCGTCGCCGTTGTCAACCGAGCCTGGTACGAGTGGGGCCACCACGCGCCGCTGGCCGTTGCCGCAGGCGTCTCAGCGGACGCCATGGACGCCGTCAAGGCCGAGGCGCCGCTGGAGCTGGCGAACCGGCCTGCGTTGCATCTGAGCGAGAAGCAGTGGGTCGTGCTGGTGTACACTGACGAGATGACGAGGAACGTGAGAGTCAAGGATGAGACTTTTGAGAAGTTGAAGTCGTTGTTCAGCGAGCGGGAGGTTGTGGAGATTACGACGACAGTAAGTGAGACTGGAAGATGGCTTGAGGAGAAGCCGGTGGAACTTTGAGAGACTGGCTGACAATGACATTTAGGTCGCGTGCTATAACTGCGTGAGCCGGTTCTTGGTGGCTCTTGACGGTAAGATGATTATTCCTAACTGTCTCGCCAACATACACTTCTAACGAGCATGCAGTTGGCGAAAGAAACAGTACTGGTCCTGACGACGTTTCCCTCCCTCAACATTGAGATCCCAAGGGTGCGTCACGGCGTCGAGGACACATACAAGGTACGCCTGAGTGCGAAGTTCAATACTTTCAATATGGAAAGAGCTGAAGAAGAGACCAACTGGTGGAGTGCAGTGTAGACTAGACCATATGGACCCAGAAGAGGCAAAGAATGCTGTAAAAGGGGTATCTCATCTACGTGTGAAGTGATGTTAAGGTCCTCCTAAAGAAACGGTAAAAACAGTATTAAAAAAAGAAAAGAAAAAAACGCTTGCTCAGCCTCTGAACCAAGCCTACTTCCCCCGTGTCCCCATGCGCCTGTCACCAAATCCTTCTCCCGTTATTTTCGTCATAATTCGTGTCCGCAACAAAAAGTGCAGATGTGCAAAGAATCGACAGGTGCTGCTGTCGCCATCAACAACATGCCACTCTGGGGCGGATGCTGAGTATTTTTAGACCGTACGCCTTATGTCGTGGATGCATATGCGATAATTCATTTGTCGTCGTGAATAGCATGGCATGTAACCTATAGTCGTAAGCTGATCATATTGTTGTTTCGTCGTTGTTCGGGTGTCTGCGGATGTGGTCGCCACCCTCCACAGCCAGTACAGTCCCAGCCGCCAGTCAGATTGTCAGCTTGGCATTCGCCAGCTCCTGTTCGATGGACCTTTCGATAGACGATCGCCGTTTGTGCATCCGTGGACTCTTTTGCAACTCTTGGACCACCCCTGCCCACCCAAGTTTGTGCCCTGTTCCCGTAACTTCGCGATGGCCAATGGCCTGAGTGGTTAGCCTCCTCAGTGACGGCCGCTCGCGGATCTCTTCAGTCAGCGCGCGCGTCAAACTCTCGTTCAGAGCGGCCATCGGCAGCGTGGAGGACGGAGATACTGGCGCCTTCTCTGAATCCCTTTGCGGTGTTGTCACGGGCATGTATCGTTCCGCTAGAGGACTCGCCCGCTCCGCAACTACACCCATGTACACGACGAGAAAACGCATCCTCATGAGATCCAGCCGGCGAACGCGCTCTTCGAGATCGCGGCGCTTGCTGGCCCAGAGAAGACGGGGGCCTATGCGCATGGTGGTGGTGTCGTCAGAGAGGAGCATGGAGTTGATCTCCTCTCGCAGATCGTCGCCACCCTTCTGAATCTCGCGGAGCAAGCGACCTAGGCGGAGCTTGTCATCGAGGCGCTGGACTTTGGCGACGTCGCGGTCATAGCTCTCGTTCTCCTCGACCGAGAAGTCAACGGCATCGATGAACGAAGCAATTTCGTTGGGAGCGGCACGGTAGCCAGTGATATATGTTGTCAAAATCTGGGAGACGACGACCAAGGAAAGGATGAGTGCGGTTAGGATCAGGACGATTGTCCACTGACGCGCCTCGGTTTCGGCCATGGCGGAGAGTGAAGCACGGAGAAGAATTTAAATGGTGAGTCAACTAGCAATGGACTACGGCGACATGATGCGACTGAGCAGTATTTGTCGGTTCAAAATGTAGGTCTATGAATAACCGCAAACTGCGTTGCAGGGAGAAATGAAGCGGAGTGACACAGGCAAAATGTAGGGAGAGGAGGAGGCAACATTGATGACGATAGAAGTGCGCCGCACATGAAATGGAAGAGGGTGGGAGGGCAAGGAGGGCTTCGAGGCCGTCTCGGCGGTAGGGTGATGAATGGCGCACTGCACGACAGCAGCCATCAGTTTCCGCCCGCCGGTGCTGTGTGCGCCAGTACGACGTTAGGGTCTGTAAGTCGGTTCCAGACGCAGTCGCAATCAAATAATGCCCCCTCTTCCTTCCTTCTTCCTGCCCCTCTTGGACGCACCTCTCCCTTGCATCTACTTCTCGTGACATGCAGCCACCAGACGGCATAAGCCAATGGAGGATCACCAAGGTCGCTCCAAGACGGATACCGTTCGTGGACATGGGATGCGACGCTCCCATAGTTGGCGCACTCCCCTGCAACTGCAGATGGAATCGACACCCGTCACTGGACAGGCGAAGGTCGATTTCTATATCTAGCATGGCTTCACCTTCAACATGGCCAGAACCTGGCTCGAGAACCGATCCGCTGGGGCCGGCGCTCCTTTTGGAGCTCGGGAACGGGCGAGAGGGGCGACCCGTCACCAAGGACTGAATGTGTGACCAGTGGCGGCAGCAGAACCGATTTAATTGCGGCCCTTGTTTTTTCGGGGCTTCGTTCTGTGGGGTTTTGGCAGTATCCACTGTGCTGCATATCGTGGGCGAAGTCAGTCAGCCCTCGCACCTCTCACCGGGAGGAGAAGGAGGACGGGAACAGCTCTGACGGACAGTGGTTAGTTACTAGTAGACGAGACATGGAGGGTTGGACCCGAAGCCTAGCATTGCGGTGGGTCGTGGGCGCTGGGCGAGGGGTTATTGTCTGGCGGTCAGCAGCAAGACAAGATGATACGAGTGCGCATGGCATGACATAACATGGCCTGGTCGAGAGGCGACATAGATGGTGTGTGATTTGTAAACCAACCCCACGATGAAGAGGGATGGAGAAAAGCGATCTCGTGCAGCTGCAGAAAAGCAGCAGAACTGCGCGGTTGAGGCATATGCAAATTCGACTGCCTGTTTGGAGTGCCTTGATCTCAGGTACCTTACATGTCTATCCAACGCTGTAATGTGCCATCCGAACGCCTCTGTGGCTCCCTCCCTGCACCCACTATGTAAGAGGCGTTCATGCTATTTGTGCATGCACCTACCTGCACTTGCGCTTGCGCTGCCACCCGAGGTCAGCGGGGATGGCTAGCTCCTCTAGATCGCCGGTAGGTGCATGACGTTAAGGTAGCCAAAGGGCCGTTTCAACCCTTGTTCTATCTACCTGAGCAAACCGATTTATAGGAATAGGCTACCCCTCGCCTCGCCACTTGTTCTCCCTCCAGAACGTATCTAAGTATCGTACCGCCATGATCTACAGCGCTTAACGGTGTGGGTTCCTACATGTCGACGACGTTCTATTGCTGGCCCACTTTCCCATTTCGGATAGAATGGCACGTGCAGTGTATACTACCTACCTACGTTTGTGCTTAAAGATGAAGGTGGGCTTCGCTTTCTCGGGTATGATCACCGTGTCGAACCAATATGGACATGCTGAATTAGGCGAATGGTTTGATTCGTCGTCTACCTGAAGGGCTAACTAGGTGCATGCGTTCTCTCGTGCAGGGGGTATCAAATTCATATCTCTCCTTTACTACGCCAGCCGTCGCTCATACTAACACACCGTGTGGCATTGCATGATTTACTGCTTTGCCTCTGCCTGCTTCTGGATATCGTGCTCGGCACCGCGCTGCTGAGCCTTTCCAGTGTCGTGCATACCCTGGTAATGCTCCTGGCCAGCCTTATCACCAGTGAAGCCAGCCACGGCACTGCCGAGAGTGCCCTGGACACGGTTGCCGATGCCAGAAGTGTAGTCGTTCAACTGGCCCTTGGCCTCTTGCGACTGGCCCTCAAGGTTCTGCTCGCGGCCTTGCTGCTTGAGGTTCTATAACCGAAATGTCAGCCTGTTGCCCTGACAAGAGTCTGCAGGTGCAAGCATCAGCAAGTCCAAGTGAGTAAATAGCCTACCTCGGAGCCAACGAGTCCACCAATAGTCTCCTTGGCGGAGCCAACAGTCTGATTCCAGGAACCGTTGGCACGGTCGGGGTCGTCCTTGCTTACGCCCTGGGCGGTAGCAGTGAAGCCGGGAAGCTTGGCCGTGGCGTGGGAAGCATCATGCTCAACCTGTGCCTTGTTCTGTTTGGCCTCGCCCTTGTTCTGGTCGGCGGTGTTTCCGGTAATGGAGCCAAGCATGTTCTGGGCAGCGCCGGTGGCAGAGTCAACGTAGGACTTGAGAGTGGAGGTGTTGTCGTTGTTGGCAGACATGATGATGGTTTGTTTGGTGGACTTAGTTGATGGATTGATTTGGTAATAGGTGGTTTGGGATGGGTCTAATGAGCTGTGAAGTGATTGATTATGGGAAGAAGTTTTGGAGGTTGGGAAGAGGGCTGCAATTTATCTACGAAGAAGCCAGAAGCCAGGCCCTCCTCCCTTTCCTGAGGCAGGCCACCTGCAACATGTGAAATCTCATCGTTTGGCAACCGCGATCGTGTTTGCCAGGTTGAGCTGAACCTGTGATGTCATAGGCCTTGGAGAAGGCCCTTCCGAATGCGGGAGCACCGCTGCTGGGGGCCCAGTGTGGAGGGGGGTCGCGGGAAGGAGGGGCAGCGTTGCACCTTGCGCTGCTTATATGATGTCATTTCGCAACTTCAACCTTACTTCATTAGCACCAAACGCCATAGTTGCCTCCTTCCCAACATCTCTTTTTGGGTATGTGTACTTGCCGTCTGAAGAGCTGAGACGTGTAGCCTTGCCCATGTGAGCCCACAGAAGACGTAATCGGAGTTCGTCTGGACTTTTTGCTTACAGCATAGGTATTCCCTATTGAGGGATGTTTGATGATGGACCTCTCCCGTCTGGGCACCTTGCCAGATGTATCCTGGACAATCAGACAATCAGTTAATCGGTCAAGAGTATAGCGCAACGACGCTACTGAACATTAGCCAGCATTGCAACTATAAGCCACATATCCGGCGTTCGTGATCTGAAGCGCTCGCCGTCGGTTGTGCAAGGAAGTAAACCGCTCAGTCACAGACCACTCTCACATCAGATCGTAACAGTCGCTTCCCTTGACATTTTTGGAGCTCTCGCATCTCTATGGCAACCTGGTGACGCATGCAAGTGTGGTATATCTTGGCTATTTGAAAGCGATTTTCGCAAGGATATACATGCCCTTCATCGAGTAGCATATATGTACCTATGACTCAACGTGAAATACTCGGAGTAATCGCATTGCCTGCTTGTTGGTTCGTTTGTTCATGGCGTCCATGTTCCAATTCATGCCAGAATAATATGTAGTAGTGTACAGCCTTAAGTTCATCAACAACAGCCAGTTGCCACCCCGTTGAACTCGACTGCCGCTGTTCTTTTGTTCGAATTTCCTACTTCCCTTTGGTCGCCCCCAGTTCTAACTCCAATATCCCCGAGGACAAAAACGAAAAAACCGGCTGTTTAGGTATCTCGAATATATTAGTACAGGCATCTCTGCGTGGAAAGATGCAGGCAAATTCCTGCGCGGACCTTGACAAACTCGCGGACCCCGATCAAGACAGACGAGGTCGAATGAGCAGGTACGCAGAACGTACGGAACCATTCTTTTAATGCTGGCTCCACTGGATCGTGTTGAGATCCACGCCCTCCTGAACTAACTCCCAGAGTGGACTCAGTTCACGCAGGAAATCAACCCGCTCCTTAACGGCCTTGAGCACGTAATCAATCTCCTGCTCAGTCGTAAAGCGTCCAATACCAAATCTGATACTGCTGTGGGCGCTCTCGTCACTGTTGCCCAGAGCGCGCAAGACGTAGCTAGGCTCCAAAGATGCAGACGTGCAAGCACTGCCAGAAGACAGAGCAATGTCCTTCAGGGCCATGAGAAGAGACTCTCCCTCGACGTAGGCGAAGGAAACGTTGACACATCCAGGATAGAAGTGCTTGGAGTCACCATTTTGTGTTGTGTGTTCTAGAGAAAGGAGACCGTTGAGGAGGCGATCGGACAGCGCCTTGATACGTTTCGAATCATACTAGAACATCTGTCAGTACTTCTTTGTAACAATTGCCGCAAACGTGATACATAACGGATAATGGGAAAATTGGACTGAATACGGTGCTATGAACCAATATCGGCGTCCTTGCGATGGGACACTTCAAGGGCCATGCATGTATAGAGCAAATGAAACACGGAATGGCAGAGCAAAGGTAGGATAAGCAAGACGGATCAACACGTACTTCCATCTCCTCATAAGCGATGCGGCACGCCTCACCGAAGCCAGCAACCAGTGGCGGGGCGAGAGTGCCGCTTCGCAGACCTCTCTCCTGTCCACCTCCGCTGATGATAGGGTCGAGCCTAACTCTGGGCCGGCGGCGGACATAGCAAGCTCCAATACCCTTGGGGCCATAAATCTTGTGGGATGAGATCGACATCAAGTCAATGTTCATGGCGTTGACGTCCATGGGAATTTTTCCGACAGCTTGGGCAGCGTCAGTGTGAAAGAATGTCTTCTTCTCTCGGCAGAGCCGACCAATCTGTTCCAGGGGCTGAATAACACCAATTTCGTTATTGACGGACATGATACTAACAAGAGCAGTATCGGGGCGGATAGCGGCAGCAAGCTCGTCCATGTCGATTAAACCAGAGTTCTTGACAGGAAGGTACGTGACTTCGAACCCCTCGTCCTGAAGATGCCGGCAGCTGTCAAGGACGCATTTGTGCTCGGTTTGCGACGTGACAATGTGCTTCTTCTTGCCGGATCTGCCGAAGAATCTCGCGACACCCTTGATGCTCATGTTGTTGCTCTCAGTGGCGCCACTTGTGAAGATGATTTCCTTCGAGTCGGCGCCGATAAGCTTGGCAATGTGCTGCCGCGCCGTCTCGACGGCTTCCTCACTCTCCCATCCGTAAGCGTGTGTTCTCGAGTGGGGATTGCCGTAAATGCCTGTGTAGAACGGCAGCATGGCGTCGAGGACGCGGGGGTCAACGGGAGTCGTAGCTTGCATGTCCAGATAGATGGGTCGCTGGCCCTCCTCCATCGTGGTAACTTGCTTCAGCACCTCGGCCATGGGACTAACCATGACATTTGGCGCATCGGGTGACTGGGGGACGACATCAATGAAATCGTTCTTGTCGAGCTTGATAGCAGTCTCGACGTTGACCTGTGCATTATCGCGCCTCGTCTCGGAGACGTGTCTGCGTTGCTGAGATAATCTCTGCGCGGGAGCTGTCGCCACCCTTGATAATGAGGAAATACCTCGCGAAGAAATTCCGGGCCCTGTGGTGTGACGGCAGAGACGGCCCGCTTGCCTAAAGACGGTTGATGTGATGCTAGCCATAGTGCGCGATTGATGGCGATGGCGTAGGCGATCGAACTTAAAACAGAGGAAGGGGAGAAGTTAGATGGAATTTTCTAAGAGGAAGGAACTGATACCCAGGCTGTTGGGAATTTTTGACAATTTGGATCGTGTCTCCGACCGTCTCGGGGTCGGGGATAACATCTAGGCTGTGATTGGCCAGGTCCAACGGCTCTCCTCGAGTTGATGACGTTCCCCATTCGGATCCACCCTTTGAGGGGCAGACTCGGTCTGACCCTCTGATTACCTAAGAAAAGCGTGCATGAGCAGGCCTCGGTAAACTGGTCTTTTACTGGATGCGGACTGGACACTACGTAGATTCCTTTTGTGAGAAACTGGACGGGCACGACGGGCTCTCGGAGTCACCTTGCTACCTACCTAGGTACCTACCTACCTACCCAGGTAGGTAAGTAGGCACCTGTGTACATAGGGGTACCTAGGTGCCTACTTGATATCCCACCACAGTCTTCGCAACCGTCCGCCGTAACTATATTACACTTGCCTTTTCGCTTTGCATTGTCCAATTTCCCAATTCGATGCTCCGAATGTCTTCAGACTTTGACTTGTTCCTTCCGGCCAGTATTTTCACTTTCTCTTCCGTGTTCACCAGCCCCCACGTGTCATCGCCTCTCAGCACACGTCTTACCTCACAGGTTGCCGTGCTACATCCTTGCCGTTCGAACCGCTAGGTACCTACTTTGGGCACATTAGCTCCTAATAGTAGGCCTTAGCTCCTGTCCTTCCGCAGCGTGTGCGCCACAGCCAAGCGGTCTTGCGCAGAAGCTGACCGGCACAGCCACGCCTACGTCGTCACCAGCGACAATCAGGTTGCGAAAGCCCACTCCTCATAAGGTTGGACGTGGAATACCCTCAAACAGCGGATACCCTCGTCATAACCCTATCCCCCAATATCACCCCCTCTTCCCTCCACTGGTCCGACTTTCGCCATACCTAATCCGCCATACCAACACCACAATCTCACCCCGCCATGAGCTTCCGGGGCTTCCAGAAAAGCGTCATTCGGGTACGTGTTTCCACTAAGTGAGGGGTCTCCCCGTCCCTTCCGCGCTGTGACGGTGACGTGAGGATGCAACACAAGATTGCAGACTGCTGATTCTTTTTTCCCCCTCGTCACGAACAGGCGCCCCAGCAATTCAAGTCCCGCTTCAACATCGGTGAGAATACAAAGGATGCTGTCTACATCGATTCCGAGCGCAGGTTTCAGGAGCTCGAGACCGAGACGAAACGATTGCACGATGAGTCCAAGAAATACTTCGAAGCCATCAACGGCATGCTCAGCCACCAGATCGAGTTCAGCAAGGCCATGACCGAGATTTACAAGCCCATATCTGGTCGAATGTCGGACCCCGATAGTTTAGAGATACGCGGCAATCCGGAGGGTATTCGCGCTTGCGAAGAGTACGAGGCTGTCGTTAAGGACCTGCAAGAGACTCTTGCGCCAGAGCTGGAGATGATAGAAAGTAGGGTTATTCGCCCAGCCAACGAACTACTGGATGTCGTCAAAGTCATCCGCAAGAGCGCTGCAAAGCGCGAACACAAGAAGCTTGACTATGACCGACACCGGCAAACCCTCAAAAAACTGCAGGACAAGAAAGAACGGAGTGCCAAAGACGAAAAGGCCCTGTGGAAAGCCGAGAATGACGTCGAGCAGGCTACACAGGAGTTTAACTACTTCAACGATCTCCTCAAGGAAGAGCTGCCGCGGCTCTTCGAGCTCGAGCAGCAATTCATCCAACCCCTCTTCCAGTCCTTCTATTACATGCAGCTAAACATATTCTATACGCTCCACGAAAAGATGCAGCATTGCGACATTGGTTACTTTGATCTGACCCTCGACGTACTTGAAGCTTTCCACAAGAAGCGAGGCGACATCCAAGAGCAGGCTGAGAAGCTGTCCATCGTGAAGTTCAAAACTACAGGCCAAAAGCGCCCGCCAAAGTACGGCCGCCCCGCGATCGAGAGCAAGCCTCAGCATCTGCTTACCGCCGGTCCATCCTCCTCGTCGGCCGCGGTAACCACGCCCACAGCGCCACCCTCGAAGTTTGGCGGCTACACTCGGCCGAGCGAACCCTCCGACATCCCACCCCCGTACTCGCCTCCGGCAACCAACGGAACATCTGGCGGCGGACTTGCCGCCATTGCCGCAGCAAAGTCGAAGCCACCTCCACCCAAACCCAAGCCCAGTCGACTCAGCGGAGCACCTGCTGCGGAGACCGTTACTGCTCTGTACGATTATGCCGCGCAAGCCGAGGGCGACTTGAGCTTCAGGGCTGGAGATGTCATTGAGATTGTTAGCCGTACAAAGAACGAGAACGAATGGTGGACAGGCAAACTGAATGGGAAGTCCGGCCAGTTCCCAGGTAAATATACACCAACTACCATTGTGGTCTTGTCAAGGAGAAGAAAAGGACTGATTGGCTGGTTGCACAGGAAACTACGTCAAGTTAAATTGAGCGACTAATGAGACTCGCACTCGCCAACCATAGCCGGCATCCTCTTTGATCTTCGCCCGGATACACTGTGCTGCAGAGGTACATTAATGAACGACCGTTAGGACATTGGGGAAGGGGCAAAACACTTGCATCTGGGGTCTTTGGCGTACGCAGAAGGGATTGCCCGTCATTTCGAATCGGAAAACAACTGGGAGAGAAGAGAAAGGGAGTGGGGGGAGGGGGGCTGTTCTGGATGTAGAGTAAGGAAGAGAAAGAAGGCTGGGAGACAACTCGCTTTCGATGCGTCAAGTGTGACACAAAGTCGTAGCCTCTCTTTGCCTTGGAGCTTTCCGGTTTAGAGAGACGCCGGTGGGCATCGTAGAGCGTGCATTTTGACCCATACCTACTTGTTCTCTTGAAGACTTTGCTGCTGTTATCAAACCAGAGTCCCTCGTTCTACAAGAATCTCCTGTCCTTTTTGCGGCGCGTTTTTACGAGAACCTTCTTGTTGGGATCTTCCCCCGGGGGGGGCCTCTATACAATAAACGTGCAGGTTCCCGTCCAGTGTCCCCTGTGCAAGCACTGGCTCCACGCCGGTTTCTTGGTTTCCGGCTGCCTTGCCCGGACGACAGTGGCGTGTCTACATTTCTCAAGCCGCTATTATCCCGAGGGGGGAAGCCAAGAAGTGAGACTCTTTGTTTCCCCCTCTCTAAGTAGACCAGGACCTGCGTTGGGCGCCATGCCTCCTCTCCTCTCTCTATATCAGGCAGACCTTTGCATTTCTAAGATAGGGTATGTCGCACAGACTTCACTCCTCAATATATTTGCATACGGGAGCCTCCTTGGCGCATCCTCTCGTAAAAAAGTGCCACTCTTGGACATCCCACCGATGCACTCGGGATGCAAGCCGTTGAGGGGGAAGGTGTCCCGATCGGCCGCCGAGAAATGCGACTTACGAATCCATCCGTTGGTGATTCTCAGAGCAGGCCACGTCAAGGCTTTCACGAAGATGGGAAATTGAATGTACAGGCCACAGCGGGAGCTCCCCAGCACTGCTAACTGTTTCAAGCTCCTGCTGTGGTCATATGATGCGCGAGATCACCCTTGATAGTAAACGACACGTGCGGGTTGAGCTTCTCGGGTTTGGAGTGATAAGAGATGCGACACGTATAAGCAAACATGATGGATTGGCCTTGTGGCCCTATCTCTTCGCTTAATATGCAGTTACTTCCTTGGACATGGGGGTAATGTTGGTGGCTCTCGAAACTAAGACAAGGCAAACATTCCCTCCTTGCGCGAACCACTACCACCGGGCGTGGTTCGCGCAAGGAGCCCAGCAAACCAATGCCGCCAATGTCCCCCTCCCCTGCCGCCTGTTCATATGCACCCAAAATGACCCGTCTGTGATACGTGATACGTCCGCGCTCTGGCAGAGTTGGAAGGATGCCCGCTCGTCCGCCCATACGTAACCCTCTGTGTCACTGGCAAGGTACTTTTGTAGTTTTATGCCATGAGCCGCTCGATTCGGATGACCTACTCAAGGAGGGCGGGCTGAGGTAGGATCCCATTCCAAAGACAGACGGCACGCCTAGAACATTTGATTGGCATGGAACATGCAACCGTTGACAGGTTCTCAGTTCCACCTTCGGCGTGAGGTCGAATGATTCCTGCTGTATGCGAAGTTGAAGCCGAAAGGTTTTCCAATAGTGCTAGCGCCATCCAAGTACGCAGCTGGAGACCTCCTGAACCAAGTTGGTTCGTAGAGTCCGCAGGTGTCTCGGAGCAGACCCGTCGATAGCTTCTTTGGCCCAGGAAAAGGCGCCTCGCTGAAAGACGGGTTTCTCGACGTAGGTCCCGAGACCGGCAATGACTGTGGTGTGGGATAGGGGCAGAGGTCCACCATATTATCCCCCTGCGTCTTCGGTCGAGTTCGTGCTGGCACCATTGGGCCACCAGGCCAGTGGTTGGTATTTGGAAGTCTGACAGCAGGGTCGAATGAGATGAATACTAGAGGTCGTTTACTCTGTGGCTCACGCGGACCGACAGCGTAAACCATAGAGCGGTCGTCCATGACGCCCGAGATAGGGCTTTGAGTGTTATGGCCCTTTGGATTAAGCAAGCTGTCCAACTCTGCTAAACGTACGTCATTCTGGTTTACGTCAACTTTTGGCGGCCACCATGATATCTCATTCAACGTGGAGAGCTGGAGATCGGCTTGTGTAGAGCCGTCAGCAACGGTTTCTTGTAGACATTGTTTGTTCCCAGCAAAACTAGAGCGGGAAATACAACGTAACTGTAGTCTCCGCTCCATCAAACCGGCAGCTTCAGGGTCGTTAACTAGATCGATAAAAGTTTCGCAGGAATAGTTGTAACGGCGCATAAAGCATTGACTGAGAGTGATTGCGGGGATTGTAAAGCCGTCATCACCTCTGTGAAAATACGATTCCTTGCGTTGTTTTTTAGCATGCGCCATTGTGCTAGTCGAGCACGTATGAACAGATAACATCTCGCTGGTTCCAATATCGCTTTCAGAGCCGGAGTCTGAATCGGAGTCTTCGCCCGAATTGTGGTGACGATCAGAAAACCCGAGTGCTGTTCGATATGATGTCCTTGTGCTTGAACACTCGTCGACAAGCCACTCTCTTCGGCACTCTAAGACCATGATAACTCCAGTGACTGGGTCCTTTTCGAGTCGCAGGGTACTCCACCTATCATCGATTGGCCCCTCGTCATGTTGCCGCCGCCACATGGCATTTTTCGATGTCAGTTGCATATCCTCGGCCCGTGAGCTTCCTACCGGCAGACGAAATCCGTAGTAATACGAAGTCCAGTCGTTCTCATAGACCTCGAAACTGTTCAGGCTTGAAATTCCATAGAAGTGATTGCCAAGTAACTCAAAACAGACAGTGGCGCCTATGTCTGATCCGACCAAGTCTTCAAGCTCCAGATGGCCCGGGGCCCACTGCTCCTTGCAGATGTCGAATCGCTTGAGAGCCCATCTTTTGAAGCCGTCATCTCCGGTCAGAGAGTGAGTGCCATAATAAAGATGTTCTCTGTTATTGCGCACAAACAACTTGCATGTAGATCCGAGACGATGAGCTGCCAGAAGCCTCTTTTGCAGTATATCAAGAATAATGAGGCGATTTCGGCCTTCGGATTTTGGCGGACTGTAGAGGCAGGTTACAATCCCACAGGCGAAGTGAATTGGGCGAAATCTGCATTTGCTATCTCTGATATTCGATCCCAAGGCGGAGTGCAGTAGCGTGCAGATATCGATGACAATCTCGGAGCCAGCAGACTCATGTAAATGGAGCAGACGGAGCGACTCGTGGCCATGTGTATAGCAAAGCATGCCATCACAGTACACATACTCGTCTGCTTGGGCAACAAGTGCAACGGAGTATGGCATGGCTGCGGCGATTGCACTTTGAGTCTTGACCAATCGCCGCAAGGAACGAGCATATTGCCTGGAGGAGCGGGCATTTTGAACCTCGGCTGAGTAGGAGGCATTGTTCTAAGGCACATAGTCAGTGTTGTATAGGAACGATGCTACTGGAAGAAGGGGGTCTTACCTGGAGTGCGGCCCGGCAAATATCATCATTGTCCGCAATGTATCTGAATTGGGAACAGGTCAAGCTGAGGTTGAATATGTCATGTAAGTCCAGAGAATTGGCAATGTATGACATTATCTCGATAGGCAACCGTTGCATTATCGTAGAGTCGACGATTGTTTTGATCCCGTCTTTGAATCATCCGAATGGAACTGCGTATCGTGTGAGAAGGCGAGGAAGAAGGTCGCTACCCAAAGAGGGTTTGTGCGGTGCAGGGGCAGTACTGGAGTTGGGCGAGCAACAGCAACCCAACGAAAGCACGTTCAAGTGTGCTATTAGCAGGAAGGGGAAGGGACTGAACAACTTTTAAGAAAAAAACAAACCTTAAGCACCTTAAGCAGAGCCGCAACATACCTAAGGTAATGAGCTGTCCCCAGCCTGAGGCGGAAGAAAAGGAAAGTGGGGGGGGCGTAGACCGCAACGACGACAAGCCTGGGTAATGTCATATACATACAGCCTCGTTGCCCCCTGCAAAGAATCAAGGTTGGATTAATGATGGGCATTGTTGCAAAAAAGAAAAATAAAAAGGCTGAGAAACCAGATCGTGGTACGGAATGAGATGCATTCTCCGATGACAGCCTGATCGTTAGCAGAGGTCACACTGGTCATCTAACCACCTACCTAGGTAGGCTAACCTTCCACATGCGAGGAGGTTTATTTGCGACGCCAACAAAATTAGATGCAAGGCGCGCTAAACCAGCTAGCTAGCTACGTGGTGGGGACAAGCTTCCTGTCGATTGACTGACTTGACTTATTTCTATGGATGGGATGGATGGTGTGGCACTCGCAAACGATGTTCAAGAGTATGCGTGATGGGCGGGAACATTGGGATTTGGACGGGGCTAGAGGGAGGTCTGTTCCCTACAGATGAACTAGGTATGAGGAGAGGGGGTGAGGCTCTGCGCCAAGACAAAGTACCAAGCATCATGTTAACCTGCTGCAACAAATACATACGAATAGGCACAGAGTAATTACCCGAGTACAGAAAGAAATACCGCAAACACTCGTTAGATCCGGACAAAGCTAAGAAGCCTACTAACGGTAAGGGGTATTGCGGCCGCTGTAAATAGTATAGTGTGCCGGCAGAAACAGGGATCTGTATATATCTATTTTCTTACGTAACAGTTGTGTTCTTACTAACGGCGGGCTGGCTGGTAGGCAACAGAGGGTGGAAAGGGTGACCGCCTTTTATGTAAGGACTAGCGTATCTCATACTCACTAGCTGCTATAGGCCATTCACTAGCTTTCTTTGGCTAGCGGGTTTATTAGCTTTGTCCGGATTTCACGAGTGCCTACGGTACTGGTCTGGGCTGCAAGCTAGGAAGCCCCTGCACCCTGCTTCAACAAACATCCGGGTGCTACACTAGCATCTATCTATCCCTGTGACCAAAATTTGCCCAATGAAATGAACGCCGATGGGGCGCCCCACTCCCTAGGTACCTCAGGTAGGTAGTATGCGGCTCAAGGATACCTACATAGTAGATACTTACGTGGTATCCAAGGCAGCCCGCCTCCCCGCCGGTCTTCCGTCCACCCACCCGGGCACTTGAATGTGCGACCTGAGCTTCATACAGCCGGGCGTGTGCAGGCATCTCCCCGTCGTTGCGGCTCTGCTTTCAGCCTCTGCCCCCGAGTAATAAACATAACCCCTGCGACGGCTCTACAAAATCCATGCTTCTTTTTTTTTTGGGGGGGGGGGGGGGGGGGATAATTGTTTTTTATTATAAAAAACAACAACATCAACAACAAAAAACGCACATCTTTCCTGCTCGTATCAATCGCCTCATCGCCGCCAGCCGGCATACAATAGTTCGACGCCCCCACCCTCAGCTTGCGCCGCCCGGCTACTTGAAGGAGCCGTCAGTGATTTGGTTCCATGCTTACTAGCCTTTTTGCTTTAATGTCAGGAGAGGGGGCTGCTCTCTAACTGGATACCGAAGCGAATGTTCCGTTTCCTGGATTGCGATTATGCCAGCTCTCGCAGGCGATCGTCACGAAGAGCCTCACTTGGGCTTGAGAGCTTCTCACAAGGACGAGGCATCACCTGTATTTCTCCTTTAGATTAACGTCAGCCAGTTAAAAAGCCGGAGCGATGAGCTGCGTAGGCCTTGGGCCATTCCTAGGGAGCTTGCTTGCCCTCGCAACGTGTGCCGCCCCTCTCACTGTCACCAGGCTCGTCACGAAGACGACCAGCCAGTGGGATACACACGTCCAGAAACCGAAACCAAACACTTGTGTTGCACCCCGTGAGCAAATGATGTGGCATTGCCCCATTCGCTAGAAACATCCCAGAAGCAAGTAGCTTGCACGAGACATCAAGTGATGATTCAGGCAGCGTTCTACAGGAGAGAGAATGGGCATGATGGTGCGGCAGTCACTTGGCCAACCATCACCATTTGTCGGCATTCATTGGAATGGACTATGGAGGCTGTAGTTTGGGGTCCAAAAGTGCAGGAACTAGATTGAGTCTGAGGATTGTATGCGCCTTGGAGACATCAATCTTGTGTTGCTATTCGAGTGCACTGTGGTATCTGAGCCTTCATTGAGGGCGTCAGTAACAGCAAGGAAAATGCAGTTCATGACCCATATGTACGACTCTAGATCCCTATCGTGGGCTCGTCTGGCCACATAGAGCCGGGTTGTCACCAAGGATCCGGATACCATGTATAAGCTGTCGACGTTGCATTCGGCGACAACGCGGCTGCAGCTCCAACGGGTCCAGAGTGCGTCGTCGACTTAGCTAAAGCGACGAACGCCAATGACGGCGATTTTCTCTTTTTTCGGCCAAGGCTCCCCTTGAAGTAAAACAACCCAAGGTTCTGATATTGCCCGCGGCTCTTAGGGCTGCAGCACCATCACCAGAGCGGCATTGCCTGAAGCCGGAATTAAGTTAAGACTTCATGCTATCTTACTGCAACCGGCTGAGAAGGGCCCGTGTTCTAGTGTTTCGCTTTCTTAACCAGACGCAGCCAAGGCTACTCTACAAAAGCGGTACCTGCCACGATGAGGCTCTGTTTTGATAGAGATACGCTAGCCTAGTACTGACTTGCAATACTGATAGCCTTATGTGCAGCTGTGGTTGCAGCCCGACACCATATCACGACTTGCTGCCGTGGTGTGACCACCTTGGATCCCCTGTTGCCGACGCAGGGGTTCTAGATAACGCCGGCCAGCCGGCCGATGGTCACGGACCTGGTTACCTTAGTGCTGACTATCCTGCGGGGAACATTGTACTGTACGTAGCTATCGCAGTTCACACGGCCACCACAATCATCAATCCCCAGGTGAGATATGTAGCTTAGGTAGGGTGGAGACCTTCCGTCTTACATGCCACTTTACCTCGATTCTCCTCAATCGTTCTTATCACCTACACGCATTGAAAGTAACCATGGGACCTGTCCAAGAGATCGACCTCTGGTCGACTTTTACGAGTGACATTCTGTTAGAGGTCCGAACCAGCACGATGAAGAAGATGCCCGGGTTAGAGGTCGAATCTGGAATAGACAAAACCTTGAGGGAAGGACCAGTCCGTGTATCTTTACTGGGTCTTGAGGCGGACGAGCATGACCCGACCTTCCATGGCGGCCCCGACAAGGCAATTCACGGCTGTAAGTAGCTTACTTAGCCACCGCATCCATGCCTACGGTGCTCTGCCGATACGGTACAGTACTGAGAAGTGTTCATCCAGATTGCTCCTCACACTATCCTGGCTGGGCCGAAGAGTATCCTGCAGTAGCAGATCGCTTCAAGCCGGGTGCATTCGGTGAAAATTTTGTCACAAAACATATGAATGAGCGGAACGTCTGCATCGGAGACGTAATCGCTGTTGGCGACGAGGTCGTACTTCAAGTCAGCCTACCGCGCCAACCATGCTACAAGCTAAACCACCGATTCCAGCTGAAGAACTTTGCTCCGACAACGTTCAAGACCAGCAGGACCGGCTGGTATTATCGGGTACTCAAGGAAGGCACTGTTAAGGCAGGCGACGAGATCAGGCTCGTTGGGCGGAAGTGGCCCAAGTGGACCATTGAGAGGATCCAGGAATATTTGCACAGGAATCAGGACGACTTGGCCATGAACGAGGAGTTGGCGGCGGTCGAGGAGTTGGGCAAGGAGAGTCGCGGTGCCTTCCAGCGACGAGTGGCCAAGGCTAAAGCTCAGGGGAAGAGGGAAAAGGGCGATAAATGGCGCGACTTCAAAATTATCGAGAAGTCGATGCAAACCCCGCGAATCGCGTCGTTTGTTGTCGAGGCTACTGTCAAGCCGGATGAGAAGCCTGAATATCTACAGCCCGGCGCCCACGCAAAGCTCAAGCTTCCCAACGGCCTCCTTCGGTCTTACTCGATTGTTTCCGGAAACCGCGACAAATTCGAACTCGGTGTGGCCCTGGAGGCCCAGAGTCGTGGGGGATCCCGTTACCTCCACGAGTCCATGGCTGTTGGAGACGTTCTCCAGGTCGGGAGGATCACCACCGACGTACAGGTCGCCAGTGCCTCGAGCAATCACGTCTTCATAGTTGGCGGTATCGGCATTACTGCCTTCCTGGCTCTCGCCGAGGCCTACCACAAGGTCCACTACAACTTTGAGATGCATTACGCCGTACGTTCGGCCGACGACGTGCCTTTCAGCCCACGCTTGGAAGCCCTCGGCGGCAGCGTGCGACTGTACGACAGGTCCGCAGGGGAGAGGATGGACATCGGCCACATCATGCGGACGCTCAAATGGAACAGCCATGTCTACGTTTGCGGACCTACACGAATGATGGAGGCCGCGAGGAAAGCGGCAGAGGAGTGCGGTCTCGACGAGAGCGACGTGCACTATGAAGCATTCTCTGCAGACACGTCAGGAGACCCGTTCGAGGTAGATGTTGTAAACCGAGAGGGCAAGGTGCTCAAGGTTGGGGGGGAAGAGACGCTGTTAGAGGTTCTCAAACGAGAGGTTGGGGAAGATATCGAGAGCAGCTGCGAGGTCGGCAACTGCGGAACGTGCAAGGTCGGACTGATAAGCGGCCGAGTTGACCACAGGGGCACGGCTTTGACTCCCGAGGACAAGGTTGGATCGATGTTGAGTTGCGTGAGCCGTGGCATCGGAAGAATCTCCATTGAGGTCTGATTGCGTCGGTTCTGGAACGACCATTCCCGAGCACTGAAGTCGTGGTTTATACCTGATCACTTGATTTGCTCCTCATTTTCTGTACATTCCTCGACCCTGGCTGGGTTTCATGGCATTCTCGCTGCGAAAAGCAGTGAACGAGACATTTACGTTCAGAAGTTGGGTCTAGTGCATAAGATAAAGAGCATGTATCACAAGTGTCTCACTGCAAGATGATCCCAAGAGTCAGATACCGGTAGATGGTGGTAGTACGATGGCTTGGTTATGTTTCCGACGTCCGCAGCTGAATTGGGAAGAATCTTTACTGCGCTCGGTGTGAGCAGCCGTCACCATTGATAAGAGCTAATACGGCCCCATGTTTGGGACATCCAACCAATAGAAGAGCGTATCGATAAGAACATTGACCCCACTCCAACTTTTTTCTTCGGGTTGGATCCGGCGAGAATTTTGGCAACTCCCGGCTCATTTCTTGAGGACGACAAGCACATTCTTGGTGTCGACCACGCTCCCACACCATGTCACCTACCGAGTCCCAAGGAGATGGCTTCGTCATCCTGTCGGTGAAGCTGCCTGCTCTCCCTTCTTGTCCCATTACCGCCCTCCACGAAATCCGCGTCCGTCGGAATGCGCCCAAGATCCCGACCGAAATCGACGACCGTAGTCTTTTCCTCAAGAACGTTCCCGTGGACAGCACCGACGCCCACTTCCGCCAAGTGTTTGCGGCGCTCGTTGGACCTGGCCGGTTCGAGAGCATTGCATTCGAGGATGAGCGGAAAACCACCACGGCCATTGATCCAGCCCAGGCTGTGAAGGTGACGGGCTTTGGCAAGAAGCGCAAGCGCGACGAGCAGGAGGCGGAAGAGAGAGCAAAAGAGGAAGAGGTTGCCCGGCTGCCTGAAATTTGGACAAGGAGACTGCGGAAAAGCGGCAGCAGCGCCATTGTTCTCTTGGCCGACGAGAAGAGCGTCGAACTCGTAATGAAGGCCATCAAGAAGACAAGCAAGTCGAAGAAGTTCCCTATCTGGGGAGAAGGTGTTTCCCCCGACTTTTCCGAGCTCGGCTCGCAATGGATAACGGCGCATATGCAGCTGGCACGCTGCGACAAGGCGGCGACGCAGAAGTCGGTACACGCCTTCTTCAACGTCTTCAACCGCAAGGAGAAGGAAGCGGCGGAGATGGCCAAGAGGCTGCGCAACGAGCCGGACGAGGACGGGTTCGTCACAGTCGTCCGCGGCGGTCGTGTGGCGCCTGGGAACAAGACCGAAGCAGAGGAGGCCCGACAGAAGATGGTGGACAAGGCGGAGAAGAAGAAGTCGGAGACGACGGACTTCTACCGCTTCCAGCTGCGGGAGCGCCGCAAGGCAGAGCAGGCCGCGCTGATGAAGAGGTTCGACGAGGACCGGAAGAAGGTCGAAGCGATGAAGGAGAAGCGTGGGAAGTTCAGGCCCGAGACATGATGCTGCGGCGGAGCATCTCGTCGACCAACCAACGAAAGATACCCATTTACATAACGCTGCTACCCTGTAAGCTTTGTCTTCTGCTCCATATCGGTCTCTTCCCTCTACATGATGACGCACGCGGGGCCAGCGAAGCATCTTGCGATGAAGGGCTTGTCCCGGATTCAGTGGTGCAGTGCCGAAGAACACCGCGTTACCATATCTTCTCAAACTTGTCTGAAATCTGATGGAAAAGAAAGAAAGAAAAAAAACCTTCATTTCAGTCACAGCCTGTCAAACACCAGAGACTAACTTTGCACCAGATGACAAAGGTCGGATGACCGGCGATAAATGCCAGTATGGCCGTGGCAGCTTCGCCGTGCTAGCCATCGGAACCAGAATTGCCCTCGGCCGACTGCCCCTGAGGCCGTCCCACGACGAGAAAACATTGCACTCAGATGCTTCTTTGGTTAGAGCCGAGGGGCCCAACAACATGAGGAGATACTGTATAAATCGAGTCGGAAAAAAACTAGTGCACCCGGTACAGCTAGTGACGGGCTGTGCTAGTCATGACCACTACGCCATTCAGCGTCGCCGGCAGAAACAATACGAAGCCACGTGTATGCTGGCAAGTTGGTGAACCACTCTGCCTCATATTTTTTTTTATCGCCCTCCCCCCCTTCAGTCGTTTCTTCACTTGGTCGTAAAAGGGTATGGCGTCGCAAGCCGCGGTCTCGTATGTTGCAGCCGGTCCTAGCGGACGATGTGCTGGACCTGTTAGTGCCGGGCTACCACACGGGCGGGTTTCTTCGTGGCCCACGACGCAGGGAACCATGCCAGGAAACGGATTTCGCACTAACATCTCTCTGCTTCTCATTTCTCTTTGAAATGTCTCCCTCCCCGACAGGAGTTCACAAACACGGTTTTTATCACATAGACCCCGCTTCCATGGGATCACAAAAGGTCATTTACGCATGCTCACACGCTTACCTATCCCGTACTGTATAACGACATCCAACTTGTTTGACAGACTCTGGCATGATGGTGACTTTTTTGGGTATCGTCTCTGGCCTTGCAGCCCCGGTCCCCTGGCCCGGCGCCGAGGTCGGAAGTGGCATAGCTCGAGCTCGGCCGACATCTCCACAACCTTTCATCTCCATTCTCCTGACCTCGAGCGCTGAGACCCTGCCAAGCGATGTCCGTCAATACGCTCCGACGACTTGTCATGGTCAGCTCTGCCGAGAATAGCAACCCGTCAAGCCCATCTTGTGCTCGTCCTGGCCTGGATTTTAGCGCAAGATTGAAAGTAGAAACATTTGCGTTTACCACACTGACCTTGACGTGATGAGAAGCGACTCCCCGGCAAGTGTCCATGATAACGTGAGAAACCCTATGAGAACATGGAAGAGAGGAGGAACGACGACTCGCGGCTTAGGCACCAGCGCACCGTGCTGCGTACGAAACCACATTTTTCGCATTTCGTCTCGTGGCACAGCGCGTCTAAGAATCAGAAGCCCTTGCTTCCCTGTCACTATCGTGTGTACCTGTATCAGGCATCACATCAATCTGCATTGTCATTGCCTGTTGGGACATAGGCATGGAAAGAACAGCTGCTCCATCGAGTCGCGGCGACCGTGCTCTCTACCGAACAGTCGCAAAGTCCAGCCACTATTGGCTTCTTGCGGCTGGCGCCAGGTTCCCCTATTTACGAGCCAGCATCCCCTTCGAGCTAGCCTATCGACTGATGTAACTCGAAAACTGCCACATTGCTCGGCGCCCTCGGCAGCCGTCACGGAATCCCCCCAATCATTGCCAACGTATGGCCTTCTTGCAATTTCCCAGGCCTTCTTTTCCGCACCTGATCCGGTGTAGGCTAGGGACCACCCACCGCCTGCTCGCCCGGACCTCGCGATGCTTGGCTCCGACCGGTTTCATTACAGCTGTTGATTCGCAATGTGCATCATGAAGCCTTTACAGCCCTCCTCTCCCTTCCGGGAAATATTGACTGTGCGGCCAACTCAACCCAGCCAGACCGACCGAAGAGTCCGAGAGAGGGCCCCTAAGGACATTGGTACTAAGATGAGGGGCTCACCTGGTTCACGGAGGCTGTCCTGAGCGTAATGCCGCCTTGCATATGCGCGTGTAAGTGGCCAATCTGCCGGCGGCGCAAGAGAGATGTCCCAATTACCCACGATGGCAGCGCGTGGGCATCATAAGCAGCACTTCGTCCGCCCGTCAGGGATGCGGGCTTTTCCCCTCCTCACACAGCATACACCAGCCAACGACCGTGCCGTCCAGCAGCCTTCGGAGCCGTCCAGCTCGTCCAACGACGTATCTCACGTCAAGCCACTCGTTATACCTCACCTAACTTATATCAAGCTTATCGTTCATTAATTCCCACACAGCCATTATGGCCCCTTCACTCTTTGTCCTTGGCACGGCCGCCCTCGCCTTGGCTGGTGACGCCGCCGCCAAGCAGTTCGTCTTGGACGACACCTACGACTCGACGAACTTCTTTGACAAGTTTGAATTCTTTGAGAGCAAATACGGTACTGGCAACTTCAACGATGTCGACCTCACTTCGGGTTACATTAACTACCGGACCCGTGTCGATGCTCAGAAGCTGGGTCTCATCAGCAACGCCGGTGGGGAGGTCTACTTGGGCCCTGACACCCAAAATGTTACCGAGTTTCCCGGCGTCGGTCGTTCCAGTGTGAGGCTCGAGAGCAAGGCTATCTACAACAAGTCCCTTATGGTCGCCCGCTTCTCCCACCTACCCAAGCCTGTCTGCGGTGCCTGGCCCGCCTTGTAAGTCTTTACCATGACATGTTGTACTATACGAGGACTAACATATCCGAAGCTGGTCTTACGGCGCCCCGTGGCCCCAGAAGGGTGAGCTCGACTGGTTTGAGGGCTGGAACAATGCGGTAAGGACTTTAGCCACGACTGCCATGCACAGTCATTGCTAACAACGCTGTAGGCTGCCAACACGCCCGCTGCCCACACCTACCACTCGGAAGAGCAGGGCCAGTGTATTATCAGCGAGGTCGGCCAGACGTCCAAGGTCAACACGGCCAACTGTGACCAGTGGGCCCCTGGCCAGTACCAGAATGAGGGGTGTGCTGCCAACGCCACATCGGCCGACCCTTGGGGCTCTGCCGATGGTGGTATCTGTAAGTGAAGCTGGCCGGGCTTAAACTCCCACGAACCGACGTTTCTGACACCTTCCACAGACGCCGTTGAGTGGACCGACGAGTATATCAAGTTCTTTGGTAAGCCCGACCCTGAACAGCCTAGACTTCACCAGACGGCTGACCTCGCTCCTAGCTTGGACTCACGATGCCGCTCCCAAGGATATCGGATCCGACTCGCCCGACACCTCCTCTTGGGGTACCCCTTCCATGCTGATCTCCAACGACAAGTGTAACATTGAGAGCCACTTCTCAGACCAGCGACTCGTAATCAACATCGACTTCTGCGGCACTCTCGCTGGCAACGAGTTCATCTGGAAGGACCAATGTGCCACGTCCACAGGCCACGCTGTCTGCTCATCTTACGTTGCGCAGAACCCCTCGGTTTACAAGGATACCTACTTCAAGATCAAGGACATCCGCGTCTTCAAGGAGGGCAGCAAACCCGTGATCTCGACCTCGGCGTCTGCGTCAGCCTTTGCATCCGCCTTGGCTAGCGACTCTCACTCGCAGACAGGCACCGCCAAGGTCACCGACAAGGCTGCTTTCCTCACTGCTTCCGGCACAGCTGCTGGCACCATCACCGCAAGTGCCAGCGTCACCAAGTTCGCGTCAGCCACTGGCTCCGTGCCCACCTCCATTAAGTCCGGCAGTGTCAATGATGAGGACGTGTGCACTGAGGATGATGATGGCTCTATCACCCAGACCGCTGTCCCCACCAAGGACATCGTCACTGACAAGAGCGCTGTCGTCTCCGAAAGCGATATCACCAACAAGCAGACCAACGTCGTTCCGACGACCACTGCCCAGCTGACCACCTCGACAATCTACACCACCAAGGTCTCGACTGTCACAGCGTGTCCTCCGACCGTTACTGATTGCCCTGGCCGTATTGGCAAGGTCATCACCGAGACCATCGCTCTCTACACCACCGTATGCCCCGTCTCGCCGGTGCCTGCTCCAAAGCCCACGGAGCCGGTCAGAGGCAACAACCACAATCATAACAACAACGGCAAGCCCGATTCCAGCTTGGACATCTCAACCGCCACTTTCACCACCGTGTACACCATCACAAGGTGCCCTCCGTCCGTTCCAGATTGCCCTATTGGAGGAGTCACCACCAAGGTGGTCACGAGGTCGATCCCTGCCGCCGGCCCCTCTGTACCCGTTATTATGAAATCGATCCCTACCGCCGGTCCCTCCGTGCCCCTCGTCACCAAGATCGCCGTTCCCTCTGGCCCCAACTCCGCCCCGGGCGTGATTAAGACGCTCTCCCAGATATCGTCCTTCGGCCTCCCCCCGAAGCCCAGCGCTCCCAGCGGCAGCCCTCACGGCCACAACGCCACCACCCCAGTGGCCAAGCCCTCCACGCCAGCTGCCCTCAAGCCCTCGGGAACCGCTCCTGGCGCTTCGACCACCGGCTGCTTCGGCCCTAGTTGCCCGACCAAGCCGGCCGTCGTCGTCGTCAACGGCGCCGTTCAGGTCGGCGCCAGCTTCGTGCTCATGGCCCTTGGCGCCCTCGCTGTCTTCGTCTTTTAAATGGATCTATGTACATATTGTCAGTGGGATAAATATCGCAACAATGTTTAATACGTATCTAAGTGCGTGGGTTAATCAGCAACCCCTGCCAAGGGGAAGCGCGATACTCTGGTTTCGTTTGTTGGAAAACCTCGAGCATCCTAATATTTTGGACGCGTTTCGATACCACACGCGTAGTTGCAGTCTTGACCTGAATAGTAATGAGAAAAGAGGTTGGCGTATAAGAGTACCCATGCCCCTGCATTGTGACGATCGCTCAGTCTTCTCAAACAAAGGGTTAAGATTAATGCCATCGAAGGTCAACAACCTGCTGAGATGGGTGAAAACCGGGGCGTGAGTTGAATGATCGCTGCCGTCATGAGTCCAATTTGTCTAATGGCCTTTTGACCCCTAAGGGCCGATTTTACTAATCTACATGAATGATGCTATTCGGCCCCCCCTCCTCCCGTCCCCGTTGAAAATAAGGGACCGAAGGAATTGTTAGATAAAATCTTTTTTCCACCAGCTCGCTCACTGTAGAGCAACCTTTTTTTTTCTTCTTTGGTCTGCTCATAGTGAATTTCTTCTCCCCTTCTTCGTCATCAAACGCCTCTCCCGTGCTGTCGTCAGACTCAGTAGTAGCTCCCAAGCGACATACTGCCATTGTTGTATTTGCCCATCCGGGGAAGTTCTTTCGATCCGTGGGAATCCCGCGTGCCAGGGACGGGAGCCTATCTGCCGCCCTTCTGCAACTTGGTTATTTCCGTTTGATAACGGATCTTGAAGCCGTTGCACAATGCTCGCATATCTGGGTACGCCTGCTTAAGCAACTCGAAGCCACCAGGGATGACACGGACGGGCCAGGAGTTGACCCTCGACGATCGACTGGCCTTGAAGCAAAGCCAGAAGTAACCGGGGTGCTTAGGATCAATGCAGAAGGCGTAAGCGGAACGGTTGGGGTTGGCGTCAATATACGTTGTGAGCCATTTCTCTGCAATCAATGTTAGCAGTGCTCGGTCACCAAGCGCGTGGACCGCAGGACTCACCGAGATCCGTCTTGGATCGTTTCTCAAATTTCTCATGCTGCATCATTTCGTCCACCTTTCTGGACATAGCCTCAATGTGCTCGTGGATCAACTCGTCCAGATCCTTGTAGGTGAACTTGCCGCCCACCCTGAGCAGCTTGCCGACAGAGAATTCGGTCTCCTTTTGGAGCTCAAGGACATCAACGTGTTGGAAGACACCATCGGCAACTTTCCAGGTGATGGCCAGATGATCGTTACCTTTGGAAGAGGGGCGGATGATAACCTCACCGGCGGCCTGAGTTCCGAGCCATTGCTCTGCCTCCAAGCCATTGAAAGGCTTGAAAAGAGGATGCTTGATGACTCTCTGGGTGCGGCCGGTGCTCTTGTCCTTTTCGCGGAGCTCCTCCCTATCTGCCGCCTCCAACCTCTCGTCCCACTGCCCGTGGCCGTGGTAAAGCGGGCGCTTGTATGGGCGTTTGACTTCGGCTTCTCTTGCAGAGAGCTTAGCAAGAAAGTCCTTGTAATTTACCTCGAGAACCTTGGCTTGCACAGTTTGCCCAGTGGTCAAGATACCCCTGACCCGTACACCATCTGGACCATCGTGGGCCTCGATGCGGCCTTCTATCCCGCAATCCAGCTTGACGATGGCGAAGTCGTCTTTGACAACCCGTACGTTGACAGGGATGATCATGCCTTGAGCTAGGGTATCCTTTGTCTCACCGGTGAACATGGTGAAGATCTCGTTCGGGCCGAGAGGTGCAAAGTTACGGCGCAACTCCTCGTAGGGAGCCTGAAGTTCAGCTCGAATGGTCTCGAGTGTGGCGCGCTTCCTCTGGCTGTAATTCCGCTCGAGCTGCTCAGCGTACTCTTCAAGAATAAGCTCGTTGACCTTCTCTTGTTCGTCTTCTTTGAAGAGCTTGCGAACGATAGCTCCTGGACCGTTGTGATCGGTCTCCGCCTTGACGTCTTCCTCGTCAAGCTCCAGAGCGTCTGCCGCCATCTTCCGGCCCAACTCGTAGTCCTCTGGGTGAACACGAGTATTGTCGAGAGGGTCCGAAGTGGGATTTGTTGCGTCATAGTCGATAAATAAGAAACTGGCGCAGTTGTTCCATACTCTGGGACCCACAACCGGAAGCTTCCCGCTGTCGGGATCGCCGACAAGCTCATCTCTGCTACTAACAGCTCCGCCGTTTGCGTTGATGGCTTTAATGACGCTGGTGGCTTTTCGGGGACCGAGACCCGCGACATATGGTAACAGATTGGCCGTGTAGGAATCGCCAACGGCCTCATTGATGTTGACACCGCAGAGGTTGACCATGTCGACCATTGCCGATTCAAGGTGCTTGAGAAGCTTCTCTTGAGGCAGCAGATTTTGGCAAGGATGGAAAGCTAGGGAGGTTATATCCTTGCCAAGAGCCGCGTACTCCTTGAGGGGATTCTGCATATAGTGCGCCAAGGCAATGCAGTATCTTGTCAGGGAGCTGAGAGTAGGGTGCTCGGCGACCGCTCGAGGACTGTCTTTGTACAGACGAGCGACTTCGTCGGTCACGACGATGACTTCGAGCGGCTCGGTACGGTACTCGCCAAGCTCGGGATCATCAAACTCAGGGCCCATCAAACCCTTCTCGCTGATCAAGCTCTCTAAGTCTCTTACGAGCTTCTGGGTATCGGCAGACCATCCGCTAACACCAATGGCATCGGGGCGACGTCGATTGACAATTTCAACGAACTCCTCACGAGCACGCTCGTCACGGGCCAGGTTGCCTAACTTGCCCTGCTCAATAACCCGGCCGTCCTCCTCAACCGAGACCCAGCATGTGGGGTCACGAGCTGGGTCCGCCATACCGTTTGACAGAGTGATGATGCGAGGCACCGTACCAAGGATCATGCCCTTGGGCTTATACGGCGCTTGATCGAGCCTCTTAGAATATTCCTCACGGCAAGCTTTGAGGACTTCTTCTTGACATGCGGTACGGAGCGACTCCTTGACACCCTTGGCAATGACCTTGGACAAGCGGGGGACGACAAGGTCAAGCACCTTTTGGCGTTCCTCGTTCCAGCGATCAGCAAGTTCACTGTAGTTGTCCGAAATGAACTCTTGGCGCAGTTGGCGCTTGAAGCCTTCGTCATTCTCCAATGTAAGCTTAACCTCAATGAGGCCTTCCTCTTCAGCCTTCATCATCTTGAGATACAATTCCGGCTGGCGAGCCACATCTGCAATGGTTTGGTTGATAAGGTACTTGACCTCGTAGAATGGGTGCGACTCATCGATCTTCTTCAGACCCTTCTCCGTTCGGCGACAGCTGATCTCGCCCATTTGGTAGAAATTGACTCTGAAATGCTTGCGCATACGAGGGTTGACGAAAAGTTCCTCTGCGTACATTTGACGAGCAGCGTACATGACTGTATCGCCGGTCTGGAACTCCTCATCGGTGAGAGAGTCGGCGAGATCATCCGGGAGCTGACTGTCGTCTTCGGCCCAAACCTTGTTACCTTCACGAAGAGTGTTCTGAGCGAAACGATCCGGCGTGATACCATAGGCGCGGACGAAACCGAAAGCTTTGCTCCGCCTGACTCTGTCAAAGAGATTTGATTTTGAGCCTGGGCGCTTCATTTGGTTGCCGTTGCCGTTGATCGAGGACATATCCTTGAGCTCGGCAGCGTACTGGAAGTGAAGGTAGTCTTGAAGGTCTTGCAGTTCCTCCATTGTCGCAGCCTGGGGAATCATGTCTTCGAGCACGTCGTCCTTGACGTTTGAAGTCGCCTTAAGGTTCTCGAGTGTCTTTTCCAAAGCGTTCCGCTTCTCGATAAGCGACCGAAACTTGATGTCGAGTTCTAGGATACGCCATAAATCATCCTGGGTGAGCAGTTTGTCCGCACTCACAATCCATTCAGGGGCATCGGGATCGTCGCGATGGTCCGGATTCTTCGTCTTCTTCGCGTGAATCAAGTAGTCCTTGCGGTGTTGGAAGACGTAGGGGACTTCAACGTCGTCGACAACAAAGAACTCGAGAACCTTGCCGATGGCCTTGGTGAAGGGTCCGTGAAGTTCGGATTGGAGCATCTTCTTGGGCCACATCAAACCCGCAATCCACCGAGCCTCCTCCTTGAATTGCTCAGCGCTAATCTGCAAGTGCTTGAAGGGCTTTCTGTCCAGCTGGAACCTTTCGGGCTCGTCCGTGAATCGGATCTGATTGTCCTCGTCGGTCAACAGCTTTTCCTTTAGCTGCGATGGCTCGAAGACATCCTTGAGCTCGATGACCTGCTCTTCGCGCTCACGATCCTCTTCTTCGTCCTCCATTTGAAGAGCCCAATCGTAGTCTTCTCCGTTTCCAAAAATGGCCTCCATGTCCTCGAGAGCGTCTTTGTCGAGACCAGCGGTGTCAACAACACCTCCCACCCCTTTGTCACGGGGTCGGGCGACTTCAGCATCTTCGAGTTGGCGCGCCCGTTCGTCCTCGTCCTCCGGATAGTCTTCTTCGATGAAATCGTCGAATTCGTCAGCTTGGGATCGGTAGTTGGAGCGGTTGTAGGGCCGTGAGTCGTTGGCTTCCTCGTCGTCATCAGAGAACATGTCCTCCAAGCCACGTCGTTCGGGGCCACGGTCATCTTCGTCGCGATGCCCCCGTTTGAGGCGCTTGAACTTCGGCTGCAAGGTGCGTTAGCAAGGCGCATGACAAATGTGGTTCTGGGATTATCGTACCTGTGTGGGCGCTCGGCGTTCGATTTGTTCTCCGATCAGCTCCAAATCATCCTCGTCGAGCTGTTCCTCTTCTTCCCTGTCACGATGCTCTCGCTTCCGCTTTCGCTCGTGGGCATCCTCGTCCTCTCCTTCCTCCTCCTCTTCGTCTTCATCGACAATAAATCCTTCACGGATCTGTAGTAGTCGCATTAGTAAATTGCTAAACCGCCGTTACACAAGACTGCCTACTTTGCGCGCCTCCTCCTCGTCCTCATCGTCCTCTTCCTCTTCAGAAGAATCCTCAGGGACCGCGTTCCTTCTGCGCGAAGAAACGACGTCTTCATCCATTGACTCCTCATCCTCGTCATCGAGTTCGGCCTCGCCGTCAACGAAGTCACGCATTGAGTTGCTCATCCTGATGTTGCCAGGTATGGAAGTCGGAGCGCGTGCTGCAAGTCACGTCGACTTCTATAGGAACTTTGGGGGCGTGGTGCGCTCGCTGAAGCCAACTGGCCAGACTCCAACTCGGAAAGGGAAAGTGGACTCCACGTCGGCTGTACTTACTGGGCGTCCAGACGTGGTCTTGGAATGGTCGGGAGAGAAGGACGCGATTGGAAGTTGAAGGGAAACAAACGTCCTTATTCAGGCAAATTTCAGTCGCCGCTGCTTGCAAGTCTGCGCCTAGAATGATTGAAAGCTTGGACCTCCTAGGTTGCTCCAGCGCGCCTCGTTCGGGACCCAGATTCCAGCCTCGCCCGGCAGGACCCCACTGAGGCTGGTGCAATAGTTATTCCGACATTGGAGATAACTCTATCTTATCGGTTTATCCGATGCCATCATGTCCGCCATCTCTAAACCCACGTGCGACCGGGTATGATCCCCTATCCCCTGTTCACTGATGCAAATCCCAGATTTACTAACAATATATATCTAAACTTAGATAGCATTCCAGGGCTCAGGCTCACTTACATGCTGCTATTCAACATTCTCGCTCATGACTCTGCTGATTAGTACCTCACAGAAGGGTGTGGAATACCCGATTGACACTCGTGAAGGGCAACCTTTGTTAAAAACAGATAATGAGCTTACTTAATCAAGTTAGCAGCCCCTGCTCATCGCAGAGTAACAACTTGGCATTGCAATTGCTATGGAAAGACTCAGGCATTACTGGATAGGCATGTCTGTAGGTGTTCAATTCCCATATAGCCGTTTTGATTTCATGACTAGAATGAGCATTGTCAAGTCAAGCGGGAGACGAATAGGGGGTGCTAATGGTTCCTGCCAGGCCACTTGTTTATCAACATGACACAAACAAGGGCGTTACAAGGGGGTAAGCAAGCGCTTTTTCAACCAACACGAGCCACGGATCCGTCACTTAATGATTCGATGGCAAATTTCTGCGCTTGGGCAGCCATCGGGGGTCTGTCAGACAGCAGACGAGACAATGCACACTGAGATTCGAGTCTTGTGTTGGCTGGGGGTGTAGGGAACCACCAATAAGGGCAGGCGGCAAGATACTGAGACACAGGGCCGTTTTGTGATTCAAGACCCCGATGCAGAGACAAAGTGGGATTTCTTCAGTGCTTCACCATTGGCTCGAAAGCCCAAGCCGACTTATCACATACAGTTTGGCAGTGCGCGGCGCCCAAGCCCCCGCCAAAGATTTATGGACTGGAGTAATAGATCGAGGGGGTGATGAAAACGGCAAACCGATTGGACTTCATTATCGATCTTTGACGGATACCTAGGTAGGTATTCACAGGAGCGGATGAGAAAACGTGCCTATTATTAGATAAGTAAGATGGGGCGCATGTCTCTCTGATAGCGGTTCGATTTTAACTTTGGCGCTGTACCTACGGACACGGATGACAGCAACTTTTTTCCCTTCACGTCGCCAAGCTTGTGTCTACATGAGCTGGCCCGCCGGCCTTGGCCGGGCATGAGCAACAAGTGAGCTAGGTCTACGCCTACGGGCTGAGAGGTGAAGCGGTACCCGGGTGAAGTTGCAAATTTCTGAAGGGGACGTAGACAGCGCTGCAGATAATGCGGAAAGATGTTCTAACGACAATGAGGTAAAATAGGAGACCCTTCCCTGACTTTCCTTGACGTCCTGGACCCGCGGAGCAAGGTTGAGAGATCCATTCCATCCAGCGTGTCGTTGCTGGCTCCACGGAACTGCAGGGTCTGCCAGGGAACCCAGGCGATTCTCCTGCTACTGTGGCTTTAAAATGTGCGTAAAGTCTCTATCCCGTACTCTGGCGCCTGGTCTCAACGTCTTTTCAAACATTGGCTCGGTCTAGCGGCTCGCTCTAGTTCGTATCCTGACGATGTATCCAGTAACCTTGGGACAAATTCTCCACCATATCCGCCGTCGTCGCAAAGAAAGAAGCGGCCAGCCAGCAGAAAGCTAGGTACCTGTATTTGGATGTACCATAGGGGGCATGTGGAGGAACAACGAAACCCTCCAGTGGACGGCGAACACAATGGCAACGCTGGCCTGAAGGCTGTGTCAAGCGCGTTGCTTATGAGTCGAAATGGGGGGGGGGAGTCAGAAAGAAGTCCAGTTGCTTCTTGCGCGGGGATTGGTACTCTTCCTCGAGCTCTCATTTGTCGACCTGATGTGCTGTAGACCTGTCTGTGTCTTGACGCTAGACTGGACCGGACCGGACTGGACCGTGGCTGGGCTGGTTGCTCCCCTGTTGCACCTGGGCTCCTGCGACATTGTAGTGTAGGTACCTTCTTCCGTGCTTCTGCTGGAATCGTGTGTGGGTGGGTGCGTGTGTGTGTCGGCCGTGTGGAAGTGAGAGAGCGAGTCTTTGTTTGACCTGAGACCACCACTCCATGCATCGTTCTCTTTCCTCGCATACCCTATCAACTTCTGCTCCCGTTTCTGCTTTCCACTTGACCCTCTCTGCTTGTGCGGTCCTTACTTCTTCCCCCCTCCCCCTCCCTTCTCTTCAAAACATCCCACTCCGACCCACGTAGCACCCATTTGCCGGCCGAGAGCGACCGCATTTACTTCTACGAGGCCTTCTCATATACAGCAACACGGAGCACGTTGCCCATTTCTTGCTATTCGCCCCTCCCCCCTCGCTCATTCTCGGAGTCGCCTCCCTACCTTACCTCGCACCCCACCTTGGCCGAAACGGGAACACCATCGAGAGCAATCACACCAATAAATTTCGAACCATTCTTACCCCCTCTCGAGCCCCTTTCCCGCAGCAGCCACCTGTCGACCTCGGAGACTGTACATCGTCTCGTCGCCTGATACTAGAACTGCCCACGCCCGCGCCGACGTTCTACTCACCTGGCATTCAGTCACTGAGTTCGGGACCTTCCAACCTTCACACTTCGCCCACACCTTCTCCGACACAACGCCGATTATCGCGCGGTGCGTCCCGGTGACAAGTCGTTACACTCGCTCACACGAGTCGATCGGATTTCTGCACCTTCTCGACTATAGGCGCTTCGGCATCCGCTTCTGCTGCACCACCGCTGCGCAGCCCGCAGTCAACATTCTCGACGGTTTACAAGCTCCGAGACGGCACAGGCCACGGCTCTAGCAACGCTGCGGAAGAACAGGTTATTGGGTCACACATACCTGTAACCAACCGGCCAACAGGGCATGACAGCGACCTCTTCGTCGCTGTATTCGCTGGTGCATTCCAGTTTCGCTTTCGGTCTTCTGTACTGAATCTCTCCGAGTGAGAGTTATTAGCCCACCATGGCCGATCCTTTTGCGCCTCGATCCATGAAGCGCAAGAACGTCAAGGGCCTCGCCCTGACGCCTGCTGCGCCCAAGCCTCCCCCCACCGCTGAGACTAGCATAGCTGGATACGATCCCCGTGATAAGGATGGCGGCGACCAGTCAGCGCAGTTGGAAATCGGTATCGAGTACAAGCTGGATCTGAGACCAGAGGACCTGGAGATTTTAAAGGAGCTCGGTTCAGGAAATGGCGGCACTGTTAGCAAAGTCAAGCATGTTCTGACTGGAACTGTCATGGCACGCAAGGTCAGTAGCTTCATTGGATGCGCGCATGGGCTCGATACTGACCAGCCTTAGGTCATCCACGTGGAAGCCAAGAAGGAGATGCGCAAGCGCATCGTTCGTGAGCTTCAGATCATGCATGGCTGCTCCTCCGAGTACATCGTAAATTTCTACGGCGCCTTTCTGAATGACCACAACGATGTCATCATGTGTATGGAGTACATGGATGTTGGGTAAGTTCGAGTTCGCCCAGATAGCGCCGGGAACTTTTACTGATTCGTATCCCAGTGCTCTTGATCGTGTATCAAAGGTTTTCGGTCCCGTTCGAGTCGATGTGCTAGGCAAAATCGCTGTGGCTACACTGGGAGGATTGACCTATCTTTACTCGAAGCATCACATCATGCACCGAGACATCAAGCCGTCCAACATCCTTGTCAACTCCAGGGGAAGCATCAAGCTGTGTGACTTTGGTGTTTCTGGCGAACTGATCAATTCGGTTGCAGACACCTTTGTCGGAACGTCGACGTACATGGCCCCTGAGCGAATTCAGGGTGAGAAGTACACAGTCAAGTCCGATGTCTGGAGCTTCGGTCTGACCATTATGGAAATGGCCATTGGCAAATTCCCTTTCAACGCAAGCGAGCAACTCTCGGACGGAGAGTGTGCACCGGCAGGTATTTTAGACCTTCTGCAGCAAATTGTGCACGAGCCCGCGCCTAGACTACCAAAGAGCGATGCCTTCCCCTCGATTCTGGAAGACATGATTCAAAAGTGTCTCTCCAAGGTTCCCGACGAAAGACCTACTCCCCAGGAGCTTTTTGTGAGTCCGAGTTTATCACCGTCGGCGAACTTGACCACTGATGTTTACAATGTAGGACCGTGATCCATTTGTCCAGGCTGCGAAGAGAACACCGGTCGACCTCAGAGAGTGGGCGGTGGGGATGATGGAGAGAGACAACCGCAAATCTCACTTGGCGCCTCAACTGTCACCGGCCACTCGTGATCTTCTGAACTCGAATGATTCTCCTACGTACCACGGCGGGTCTGGAAATGATAGATCTCTCGATACGCCAACTTCAGGAGAGATCCCTATAGCGGGTGCTGGTATCATCTCCCCGCGAGAACTCGCCAGCCACTCCAACCGTTCCCCTACTCGAAACGGGCTCAACCCCTTAAGCAGTCGACAGCCGGGCGGCCATCCTGGAATGGGACAGAGGATTGTTACTACCAATTCTATTCCCAAATCTGGCGAGTACCCGAGCAGCGCCGGCCCTGTGAGTGCCAATGCCACTTCATTCAGCCTGCCTGTTCGCCCTGCCCCCAATGGTCCTCTCCCGCCTGCCCCTCCTCGAAAGGGGACTCCCGATGACACAAGACGTGAGAATCGACGACAGGCAACATTCGGTATGCCACCGGCGCCCAGAAGTTACGCCAATGATGTGTACAATGGTACCTCCAATTAGTTGCAAGAGGGCTCAAACTACATCCACGGTGTTGCGCCTCAACCACACCAAGCAAAATCACTGCATAATAGAGCATCAGGCCACGCCGTTTGCCTACAACAGCCAGACTCATCTTTCGATCAAGGACCGAGAACCTGCAATGTGTCTGCGCAGACAGCTTATCGACCATCGTCTGACAACTTGATGGAAGGAGCGATCGCGTCAGCTCCGATCTACCCGTCCAAGCGGTCACCGATACCTAACATGAGAAGCCACGGGAAACTTCGCGCAGATAATGTCGCTGGCTTGGAGGATCCTTTTATCTAGAAACAACCCAGATATGCCGGACTTTGACACTCTTGCAAAGATCCAACAGTCGGGTAGTTGGTCCGACCGCAGCAAAGCTTCCCCGGCTCTCCCCTTCAGCATTATTTGGCGCACGTATCAATATCATGCTGTTGCAAATTTGGGCGTCTTACTGAAGCTGTCGACAGCCAGGCTTTTCTACAAAGCTTGGACAGAATGGCCTTGGTCGATTGCGACTAAGGCAGGGTGGATTGGTCGAATGGGAAGGCCACTCATGTGTGAGATATTGTATCTGGCGTGCTTGGAGGATGGATTTCATTGGAGCCCGCATGCTGTCTAGACAAAGTAAAGAATGCTTGAGCAATCTGCTATGCACTTATCACCCCGTAAATTCTCTCTCGGCCAAGAACGTGTCATTAGGTGAACAAACAGCCAAGCTTGTTTGTACCAGCAAACCTGCAGTCAACGCTTGGCTCCGTTCATGTTGAAGGCGTCAACTCCCTACCGCTAAATCCCTCCTCGAGGATGGGAATCAGCTCATCCAGCCGGCGAATCACCAAGTCAGTATGTTCATGATCAATCAAGTGCGCATTGACATCGTTGGCGAGTAGCACCGTGGCCGCACCAGCCCTGCGGCCAGCGGTCATGTCGTCGATTGAGTCTCCAACCATGATCAACTCACTAGCATCGCCCTGCACTGCTTGTGACCCTTCCGCAGCCTCGTCCCTAGGACCCCTCTGTGACTCTGCTGGCTTGACCAAACCCCAACTCCGAGCGATGTGCAAAATGCCAGCTGGATCGGGCTTGGGTGGGCGGAAGTCGCGGGTAATGATGGGCTCGAAGAGTGAGCCCTCAAGAAACTTGCCGAGCAGGTGGGCGACTGGAGCGTCAAAATTGCGTGTGCAAATGCCCTTACGGACGCTGCGGCGGTCGAGGTAGGACATGAGGTCGGCCAGACCCGGCTGGGCGACCTGGGAAGCCATAGCATTGCGCTCTATCTGGCGGATGGAATCCATGGCCGTTTCCTGGGCCTCCTTTGTGGGAAGAGCGTAGACGTGGTCGAGGATGTCAACGGACTTGGTAATCCCGAGAGCCCGGCGCATCTCGCCGAACATGTAGGTCTGGGGCTCACTGGTGTTTTGTTAGTGAATAGCAGACAGAGTGACGGGACGACGCATGAAGATGGGGGTTTATGTTTGAGTCTTCAACGGATGAATTGCGAATCAAATGGGAGAGAGAAGTGCAAGACTGGCTCGGGTTCAGGCATCTTCCTCGCTTCGAGAAAGAAAACAAGAAAAGAACAATGCGACTCAAACAAATTGCCTATCAAGACATACCATAACGTCCCGTCCATGTCGAAGACAATGCCCTTAAGTCGAGGTGCGTTTGAGTTGGCCGCGGCGCCGGGTTTCAACGGAGCAAACTGCCGGCGAGTAACTGCTGCCATAGTTGACACGAACTTCTTCATAGAAATAGTTATACTATCAACAATGGTTGATGGTGGTGATCAGAAGAGGAGGGGAAAACCGCAGAATGTGTGTGGTATTGGAGTCTTGGTCAACTGTTATCGCGATATTTCGACAGTCCTCAAGCTCTTGTGGAGTCTGGCAACTAAAACCGATAAGAGACTTAGTGGGCTGGTAACACTAGGTACCTAGTCAGTTGGGTGTGTCGCACAATAGTATAGACCCCGGCATGGTCGATGGCGGGCATGGGGAATATTCTGTAAGGCAGGAGAAGGTCTAGGTGGGGTGTGGGAGGAAGGAGCTTTCATATTCCATGTGACGTACCGCGTGCCCAACCTATAGAATCTTTAAAGCAGCCAAAGCTTGCCGTGCGAATGACCAGCTGTTGCGGATTCATTCAGGCGCCTTTGCAGCCGGCAATGAATAAGGGCCTGGCATCGCTGATTTAGAAGCTGTGCCGTTTCACAGGGATATTGAACTTTATGTCACCTTAGACGTAGCAGTGACCGCCACACGTTCATCCCTACCGCTACCCCTACATTACATTGGAACCGAACCTATCTAGAACAGGCGACTCCTACCAGGCTCCCTCGTCGAGAGCGCATTCTTGTTCCACGATCCACCACGGCTTGCATTTTGGGTGCTGCGCAACACCCAGCCGTTATGAGCTCGTCGAACACGAACCAATGGCCACCTAGGCGGCCGTCGAAACGGAGCGTGAGTGACACGTGCTGGGACGAGAAGTTTGCTATGTCGCGATCTGTAGCTAACCCGCGATGCGACCCCAGAAGCTCCGAAATGGTACCTTCATCGTCGCAGGCACCGGCGAGCGTAGCCGCCGTCAATTCTCCCTCCGCGGATCGAGCATCGAGATACCACAGCCCGAAGTGAATGGATACCGGTCCCTGCTGACCGCCGAGACCACGCGCGAATCCATCGATGTGGTCAAGCATAATATCAAGACCACCGTACGCCACTTCTGGGCCTGGCTCCGGTCACCGGCAGGGAAGGGTGTGCTAAAATGCACCCTGGCGTACCTCCTGGGGAGCATGGCGACGTTCCTCTCGCCCATCTCATCCTTTCTGGGCAAGCCCGATGGAAAGCACGTTGTCGCGACTTTGACGGTCTACTTCCACGCCAGTCGCACGTGGGGTTCCATGGTCGAGGCCGTTGCCATCGCCACTTTTGCCGTTCTATACGCTGAGCTTGTAGCCGTGCTTGCAATGGCTTTCTCTGTTGTTGTAGGAGGGCAGCTTGGGCTCATACCACTTTCGCACGTCCTCATTCTCACCTTTTGCATTGGCGGCGGTATGGGCTTCATCGGATGGGTGAAGCAGAAGCTGAACAACCCCCTGGTCAACGTGGGCTGCACTCTTTCCTCGATCGGCATCATATCTGTTGTTACTAGAGAGGAGGCCATCCATGAAGGGCACTTTTCCGAGGTCAAGATCGTGCAAGTTTTGAAGATGTTGGTTATGGGTATCACGATCACCGTGACAGTCAACCTCTTGATATGGAGGGTATCGGCGAGGGCGCTTCTGCGCGCTTCCGCGAACTCTGCTGCCGTATCGCTCGCGGACATGCTCTCCATGATCACTCGTGGCTTCTTGAACGGCTCCGAAAGCGAGATCATGTCGGGGGACTTCTCCCAGGTCGCGAGGCTGTACAAAACTACGTACGGTAAGATGACGAAGAGCCTACGAGAGTCCAAATTGGAGCACTGGGTATTGGGTCGTGAGAAGATTTACAATCTGGAAAAGGCCTTGGTGAAGTCACTAGAATCCCTTTCGCAGGCTATAGGAGGCTTGAGGAGTGCGGCCGACACGCAGTTCACTCTGCTCAAGGAAATTCCACAGGACCCCATGGCTGGACAACTGTCTCCTGGAAACACAGTATTCTCTCCAACGTTGTCCCGCGCCATGTCCCAATACCTCAAGGGTGCTCGGGACCGATTTGCAAGCCTAGCGTCGATTGAGGAGGACGACGAGATTGACGACGATAACAGCCACCCAAGTCCTACAGAAACGACAGATGGGCCGCCAGCGCCACTCCCGACATTTCGTTCGCCGTCGGAGATCTTCGAGCTTTTTATCGCGCTGCTGGGCCCTTCAATGAAATCTTTGGCGTACACCCTGTCAGAAATCCTCAGGGAACAGGCTTTCGCCAAAGGGGCAGATTCTACGATAACAGTTAACCCCCATTTCAAGCATAGCTTGCAGGACGCCATGATGCTATACAGCAACGCAAGGACGCATGCCCTTCAAGAGCTTTACAACAGTATCGAACTAGGCAGAGCACGATCCGAGAAGATCCAGGCAGATATTGAGGAGGTCGCTGCTGCCTGCGGGCACTTCAGTTTTAGTCTGCAGAATGTTGCCGAGGACATCAACGCATATCTAACAGCCCTGGAAGAATTGAAGTACGCCCGTGAAATTGGCTCTCGCAGCTGGAACTGGCTGAAGATCTGGAGGTACTTCTCATCGCCCACAAAGCCCAAGGAAGCCGACCCAAATAATTTAGACACCGAGCGCTTGCTGCAACAACCTATGGAACCCGCCGAGCAGCCTGTGCGTGCTATCAGGAAGTCGGCCGTGCCAAGAGGTATCCCGGATACTATGATTAAACAAAGAGATACCTTCAGTTGGAACGCTGCGCCGAATGCAAGCAGTATCATGAGATTTGCTTCGCAGCAGCTTCTTAAATCTTTGAGGGTCTTGGCGCGTGATGACAGTAAGTTGATGAAATCAGCCCATTTGGCTGCAGCATTGCTAACGGCTCTTTGCAGTTCGATTCGGTGTCAAAGTAGGCTTTGGTGCCATGGTTTGGGCGGCCTGCGCCTTCATTCCGGCAACAAGACCGACATACCAGCACTGGCGCGGCGAATGGGGCTTGCTATCCTTCATGATTGTTGCGTCCATGACGGTTGGAGCGGCCAACACCACTGGGACTGCGAGGTTCATCGGCACAATTGCTGGAGTCAGCTTTGCTATGATAGCCTGGGCCCTCAGCCAAGGAAATGGCTTCGTTCTTGCATTTTTGGGTTGGATGGTCAGCTTTTTCAGCTTCTACATGATGTTGGTTAAGAGCAACGCTCCCTTTGGCAGGATTACGCTTCTTTCCTGGAACGTCACTGTTCTCTACGCCTATTCGTTGTCACAAAAGGTAGACGACGATGATGACGACGAGGGCGGTTCGAATCCTCTCATGTTCGAGATCTGTTACCACAGATTCGTCGCGGTCTCGCTGGGGATCCTTTGGGGTATCTTTGTTTGCCGCGCAATCTGGCCCATTTCGGGCAGGAAGAAGTTCAAGGAGGGCCTATCGGTGCTCTACCTCCAGTTGGGGCTCATTTGGAAGAGAGGCCCGCTAGCTATGCTTCTCAGGAGTGACAATACAAGGTCGTACATGAGGGCAGGCGAGGAGCAGGCGCTCCAGCGTTACGGTAAGGAGCCACCCATAGCACAGCGATTCGACTATGCTAACACAAGGTCCAGCCTTCAAGCTCGAGGCTTTGCGAAGCGCCGCAAAGAGTGAATACGAACTTCGTGGCCCCTTCCCCGATGCCGCTTATGCTCGCATCATGGAGTCCACTGGTAAAATCCTGGACGGCTTCCACGCCATGCGGTTGGTGACCTCTAGAAGAGGCCAGCTGTCCGCTGGTGAGAGGGCGTTGCTTGAATATACGGCACCAGAGCGGGCACAGCTTTGCGACCGCATATGCCACGTGTTTCAGGTGCTCGCCAGCTCTATGATGCTCGAGTACCCGCTCACCGACGCGATCCCCTCGGTAGTGGGCAACAAGGACCGGTTGTTGGGCAAGATTTATCAGTTCCGCAAGAATCACCAACCGCCGTCCCCTAAGATCGGAAATGGCGAGGGAGTACAGCCGCAGACCAGCGGCAACGGATACAACGGCCCGATTACTAAGAACAACGTGGTCGTGGAAGAAAAGGACTACGCGCTACTGTACGCGTACACCTTGGTCACAGCCCAAGTCGCACAGGAACTGGAGTGCGTGGAGCGGGAGGTTGAGAACCTATTTGGCGTCCTTCACACCGAGGCGTTTTTGCTACAATAAACGTATGCCCGTCGCGCCAGAAGAGAAACGGACGGGATCGTGTCGATGAAGACTCACGGATCGAAGCTGAGGGGTAAAGAGACGGAAAGGAAGAAAATAAAAAGGGGCGAATGACTGATGAAACAGGCGACGGAGCCTCGAGCTGACGTTTGGTCTTACTATACACGCACATGCATTGTTACTGGGGATAACTCTACAGATGCGCCCGCCATCCAAATACCAGGTTCACTTTCGTTGGGGGCGGGGGCCGAAAAAGCGATATGGGCATGATGATACAAGGCACGAATACATATTTATACCTACATAGACTAGCCGTAGTAGTCTTTAACCATCGTTATACCATCTTTCCTCGGGGCGGATGTGGGATGTGAGCCCGCGTGTTCGAATGATGCGGTCCTCGGTAGGGAAACATGGCCCCCATGACAGGCGATCCCTTTCGGGATGCGTGCATACCCCGCCAAAGGACAAGTAATGTAGCCCAAGGGGCATCCGACGTCGGGATAGCGTCCTGGCTACGCCGGCCGCAACTCCAAGGGCGGCAGGCCTACAGCGACGTCAAGGTCTGGTATGCGTGTGAGTTCGTCAATTGTAAGACATGGAGGAGTTGCAACCCTAACTATACAATTAGCACCAAAGCTGAGTGTGGCCCTGAGCCATCCAAGCTCGCCCGGCAACCGCGACGTATCATGTACGTGGACGCAAACAACCCCCAATACTTTTTACATGGATCTGTTCAGCATAAACCAAACTGTATGCCCCGAATCGAACCGATTCTTCCATCTCTTTGATCCCGTACGTCATCTCCCTGGCGAACAGTCTACTAGGGACACTTGCATCGACCCTCGATGTGTTACAGATCAGATCCCGAGAAAACAAACAGCCGCGCACTATCTGAACGCCATGACGAATAACCGCGAAATCTCCCCATGAACATCCGTGAGTAAATGGTAACGTATATATAGTCGATTAAACAGCCTCAACTCCAAGCTCGCTGCGTCAGCTTCGTCAAAATAAATGGGATCGTATATGATAAAAAATGCGGAAATTTTCTTAGCTCCAGCCCTGCATGCGTTCGTTGTCCTCGTGGATGTGGAAGCCAACGCCGCCGTCTGCGCCAGGGACCTGCCAGCCGCGCTGGGTGCTAGGATACTCGGAAGGCTGGCTGCTCACTTCAGAGTGGATGTCGTCATCGGCCGTCGGGGTGAAGAGCGGGTCGATGTTCTCGCCGTCCGACATGTGGTCCTGATCCTCGATGCCTGGCCAAGGCTCATCCTCAGGCAGCTGGATCTGCCGCGAGTACGATGAGTCGCCCTCTCTAGCTGGAACTGGCTGAGCCGCCATCTCGACACTGTAATCGCTCTCGTCGCTCTCGTCATACGGGTTCGTACTACCGTAGTCTGGATCCAGGTTTTCATCGTCCTCTGTAGGTGAACCATCCACGCCGCCGCTTGTGCCACGTAGGCGTGTCTCTGCCACCGGCGCGTTGCTATACGGGGTGGCATAGTAGTGTGGCGTGATCCCTCGAGTCGATGGATGACGCTCGTCAGAGGGCATTACACCAGGCATGGGGCTTGGTGATACGGTCCAGCGGGGCGTGTTGAGGGGTCGGCTCGGAGAACGAGTTCGGCGCCGTTTGTAAGCTGTCATGATATTCGGCGGACTAGTGCGGATATGAGCGGCCGCTCTCTGCTGTCCGAAGGAGGATACACGACGTTTGATTTGCTGTGACGGCGAGTAATTCGCAGGAACTGCCGGAGGCAATGAGGTGGTACGGATGTACGAGGGTTTGGATGATCTTCGCTCCCGAGCGGGTGTTTGACCACGGGCCATCATGGGACTAGAGGATCGCATCGAAGATTGCATCGCAATTTGGTGTAGAGAAGGGGAGGCTGAGACGCGCTGACCAGCCTGTCGCATACTCAAAGATGACTGGGCACTTGGGGTCTCGTCAAGCTGGTCATTCCACATCCAGTAGTCCTCTCGTGCGTCGGCCTCGGGTACGGTTGCTTGGGAGTTAGGGTAAAAACGGCTGACTTCTCGGAGCCGTTGCCAGTTCCAGCCACTCTCGTAGGCTGGCAGATCTTGGAGGTAGGCCTCAGGCTGAGTGATGAAGAGGCGAGGCTCAGAAGACCGCATGATAACTGAGTTGAGGAAAGACACATCCCAGAGAGCAGGTGTGATCATCTCTGCCGGGGTCAAGAATCGGAGGCGGGAGTCTTTGTGGATCTTACGGAGCGGGACCCACGGCTGTTGCAATCCCAGGAAGCGACTCGTCTTGCTATCAAGACTGCGCCGCCGTGAGGCCGAGCGCGAGCCGCCCGAGAGCTCGACGAAGGTAGTGCCGAAGGCAGCGTGCAGTGCTGCCTGGACACTTCTGGCGTCGGATCCCTTGATGGAAATGGTGCGCACCAGGCCGCGGCTTTCCAATCTCTTGTTGATGATGCTCATGGGACTGCACGCCTTAGCCATCAACCATTCGTAGTCGTGGCCTGGATCAGCCCACCCCGCACAAAAGGGTGATTGTGCTCTCAGAGTTGCAGAGCTCATGGTGTTGGGCATTTGCGTCCACTCATCCAAGCTTGAAGGGCCTTCCGACTTGAAATCCTGGAGCTCCTGCCAGACTCTCTTCAAGGGGAAAGGCAGGAACACAACCTCAATTTCCCAAGGTCGAGCATTCGTAGGGAGTAGCGATTGAAGCTGAAGGATCTGAGACTGCAACGACTGGATCTGGTTGAATATCTCACCCGAGTGCCCGGCGCGGGTGGTGGTACTAGTTGCAACCGAGATGACGCTGTTGGTCGACTCATCAAAGGTTTGACGGTCAACGCGACGGCCTGCAGTACTGCTGTTATCGTTCATGAGCTTCTCAACCTCCTCGACCCGGACTTCAAGGTCGGTCACACGAAGATCGGTGGCGTCGTGCTTCTCATGACACTCATCGTGGCCTGCAGCAGAAAATGAAACGTTTTCCAGCCTTTCGAGGCGGTGCTCGTGTCCTTGAACCGTGTCGGAAAGGTGCCGAAAGGTATCCCGGGAGGGTCCGACAAACACAGCATCAACCTTTTCAAAGGCGCCTGGAGACTGGGGAGCCCTGGGAGTATCTGCGCCGCGTTCGCTGTGAAGCATCACAGTCCCGGCGTCGTGCTTGGCTTGCTGATCCTGTCGGGCGGGTGGGTTTACATCCTGAAAACTGTCCTTTCGCGGAGTTTGCACATTGGAAGCAGCAACACCACTGAGTGTCTGGAGACCTTTTCCGGAAAACGGACGCAGATAACGAGCCTGGCTGGATGATGTAGTGGAGCTGGGTTGAGATTGCATTAGACATTGGGCTGGTATGGGCGGCAACGCAGTATTTCCAGAATGGGACTGGATGAACTCGCCCCAGCATAGCGTATCCTGTAGAGTTGATTCGGGCCGCTGTGTGGAATGGTCCTGTTGGCGAGGCCTGGGATCCTCGGGCTTCTTTGGGGATACGGCCATGGCTGCATCCAGGTTCACAAATTCCATGGTCGGGGTGAATCCGGTGGGCATCCGAAAAGACATATCCGGCAACTGGACCGGGCTAAGAGGCTCCCTGGACATTCTCGGCCTCTCGTTCTCCTGGCCGCCAACCTGGGCGGTGGTCGTGGGATGAAATGCGGGCGTGGGCGTGGGCGCCGGCGCCTCGCTCGCGGCGCGTCCGTCATCGTGGAAGCAGGCGTGATGCGAACACATGCACCAGACGGAATTGTCAGTACCCAGGTTATCCGTGTATGCTCTCCCGACAGCAAAACGGCTCCAGAAACGACGGCATCCGCACTTGGCTCCATTGGCGCCGGGCGTCAAGTCCACATAGTTGCAGGCTCCTCCGGGCAGGTGGCCCGGGTTGCGCTGGGCAGCCCCATCATTATAGATATCGAAGAAAGAAGAGCCCGGCAGAGGGGGGTCAAATTGTGTGGTTGCCATTGGCGGCAGCGATATTCATCGGGGAGGTTGGGCGGCGCGGATCGGACGGCGATGGCTTAGACGGGCGCGGAAACTCGAGGGTTATTGGGATAAACCGGGATGGGAGGTCGACGACGTTGATGTTGAAATGGAGAGGAGGGAACAGTGTTTGGGAAGGAGGAAGATAGAAAATCCCTACGCGGCCCAAACCAAGGCCCAGCTGGGTCGCGATCCGAGAGACCTAGAAGAACATCGCAGCTGCTGTGGTCGTTAGCCCTCTGTCCACTGTCCAGATACAACACCAAATGCCCAGGTTGGAAAGTCGGTGTTCGCAAGCCAACCCAGGACAATTCTCAGACATTGAGCAGACGCACCCAAAACGAACTGGTTGTTCAGCGAGTTGGAAATAGCAATCAAGCTGGCAAGAGGGAGTCGTCTCTTTTATATTCACACGCACCAATCCGGAAAATGATTGCGTGACTCGAGAAAGGTGAAAGGCAAACGAGTCTGGCGGGCGATGGAGTGGCGGAGGACGAGGTGTTGTTGATAGAAAGTGAGGCGGCCACTGGATTGGAGCACGATACCTACAAGGACGGGAACCCAGGACATCGGTTGATGGCGGGGGGTGCAGGAAACGGGGTGCGACGAGTGATTACCTATCGACGCTGGGGGTTTATGTACGAATACCTACCTAGGTATCTGTACAAAAATGATAACGGGAAATGTGGAGAAGAGAAACAGTCGCGAACTACGGCGGCTTTGCTTTGCTCTGCTCTGCTATTTCAAGGTCATAGTGTGTGAGGTGTGTCAATGTGTTATCGGGAGGAGCGTGGCATGACATGGCATGGGGGCATGTAATGCAGATGCAGGCTGGCAGAATGACTCGAAAAGAAGCTGCAAGGGTTCCTAATATCGCGGAGTCTCGTCCTGAAGTTTCCATCTGCTGTCTACGAAAATGGCATTGCTATGTATGTGAGTGAGAGGTCGGCGGCAGACATCCATTAGTGTCGAGCTGGTCGGCGATGGGGCATTGCGCATGGGATGGATGGCTTAAGGCGGAGGGTGTGCCTGGCTTGTAATCAGTTTAGGTGCGATGGCGGTACGTACGTGTGTACTAGGTAGTTGCAAGCTACGTATTGCTGTCGACGCGAGCTCACTCGGTGGTTGAGGTCCGGCATGGAATGTGGCTCGTCGTCCGCTGCAGTTGGCTGTAGCCCGCTGTAAACCAGCAAGAGATGTGCATTGACAAGCGCTTCCACAGCGCAATTCCTTAACAGACTGCAAAGGCCTGGAGGCTTCAAGCAAGCCGAGCCGAGCAGGGCAGGGGGGATGAGGGAAAAGACTGGATATTCACGACTAGAACGCGTCCCCGTGTCATGGGTTCGTGTGTCCAGGTGGCTTGCTGACCCTTGCAAGCTCCATGTTCCTGAGGGGCCGGATGGCATGCAGCGGAAGCTTCCTATTGGACAGACATGCCAGCCTCTGGGCCACTCGAATCGCCTCGTCTGCCTACCACCTACTATGTCGGTAGGTATGTACACTAGGTATTGTCCTTCCTGCGCTTCCTTGCTCCCCACCGCAAGTCGAATGCGAGGCGGTGTTGTATCTTTTCCAAGTTGTAACACCAACATTCACGGCTTAGCAAACTACTTACTGGGAGCCGACTCTCCTGCAGCGACTTGCGACCCGTTCTGCTCCCCGTCCTGCCTGCCTGTTTGGTTTCAAACAGTGCGCTCCACAACCACGAATGGGAGGGATGAGCGATTATAGAGTGGTGCGAGGACGAAAAAGCAACGACGAGGCTGCTTGTTCCATTCCAGCGATGGTTGACTTGGCTGAATCGGCAGGGCGCCCAACTTCTTTTCTTTTTCAAAAGTCTGGGGCGGCGGCAAAATGGTTGACTGCACACTCTTCCCTCCTTGGTACCCCTCAAGACGCCTAGGCGAGATAATGACAGGTGGGCGAACAGACTGCCACCGGGGCAGGGCCTTGGTTGATAGACATATCATATCGTATGGAGTCCCCCCTCCCACGGCGCCAGGCTGACGTTCGATGATGCTGTCCATTCGCAACCGCGAGGCGTCCGAACCCCGTCGATCTGCTCACGGCGAGGCGTCAGGCATGACTGACTGGTTCTTAGGTGGTAAAAAACAACCCCTCGAGATGCTGCTGGCTTTGTCCCCCGGAGAAATACGCAATTCTAGCCAAAGCCTCGCGGCGCATCGTTGGCTACAATCAATGAAAGTAAAAGGTGTTCAAGGTGAGAAACACATTCCCTGCCCCCTGCGTTTGTAGTGTACAGTGTGAAGGGTGGTGAAGTCATGGTAAACATGAGTGATAAAATATTTTACTGCTCGGTTGATCACTTGCCGTGATGCGCCTCTGTGGACGTGTGTCGTCTCGCAAGCCGCGTCGCCCGGGGCTCTGGTTGATTACACACGCATGCACACACCATTCTTTGGGTTCGCCAATTGTTGTTTAGGTCACCCTTCCTGTCAGGAGTCCCGCTCGGAGCCAAGACCCTCCCCCCCCCCCCCCACATTCACCATGTCTGCCCGGTTTATCTACGGTATTCGAAGCTTCGGAGGGGTGGGTGTCTTTGCACATCATGCACGACTAATGGTATCTTCTGCTATACCTGCGTTACCCGTAGTAGTTATGCACACTACAGTGAAATCGGGATAAAAACGCCTTCGATTGTCTAAGCTCGATCATATCTATATGGTCTCTGTAGATGCCCGATAGCTCCAACCAACCCTACATGGTTGTGATGCTGAATGCTGACACACAAATCACCCGCTGAAACACCAATATATTACTTCAACTCCCGCTAGCTCATGCAGTAATACACATCTATCGTGTACAGACGCCCATTCCTAGTCGTTGGCCACGGCTCGAGAGGACGGCGAAAAGCGATTCTATGCCTCCGATGCAGTTGAAAGTCGTCAAACCTCGCCCCAGCTTCCCATAGGACCAACCGAGGCGATGACTGATCCCGTTCCGATGGAACCCCCAATGTCCCAGTAGTGACGCGACGAAACGCTGCTGCGTCTCGCCGACCGCCGTGTGCTATGACTAGCACAGCTAGACGCATGCCGCATAGCAGCGGGGCTAGACGGCGTCGTCGCCTTGAATGTCCTGCGCTCTACCGGTCGGGCTCGGGAGACGAGCGGGTGATGCTGGCGCACCCGCGCGGCTTTAGCTGCTGTATCTGGTGTGCTTGAGGTGGCAAGGTGAGAAGTACCGGTTGTGAAGGCAGCGGACGGAGTCGACCGCGAAGTAAAACGCGATCGCAAGTACCGGAAGACGAGATTAACGTCCAGATCTTGCTCCCACTCCTCTTGCGTAAAAGATGTGGGCAATGGGGTTGGCTCATCCCTACTTAAAAGTGCGGTAGGGTCGCACTGGGGCCGGCCGGTGGGGATGTTGATGGGGCGCGCGTGTTGAACCATTGTTGGCTGGAACTCGGGCATCTTCGTGGACACTTCCTGTACCTTGGGAGCCATTGGCGTATCAGCACCTGACTCTGGGATGGCTGGCAAGCCGGCGTAGGGAATAGGCATCTGTTGCATGCAAGTGTATGTTGAAAAAGCGCCAGGATGATGATGTGACAGCTGGTTGACCATTAAGCCAAGCTCTTTTGCTACGTGATCCAACGCCCGCACTTGCCAAGATGAGCCATTGGTCTCCTGAGTGGGTGTGCTGGACAGGTCCGCGCCCGTCTTGGGGGTTGTTGACAGGTCGTCGTCAAACAAAAATTGCTCTCCCAGCAGAATCGAGAGTAGTCTCTCGTCGATGCCTAGGTCGTTGAGGACCTTGCGGGTGATACTGGCGAGCAGGCCCTGCTCGTTATCCTTGGTGGCGTCAGCCGGTTCATAATGCCAGTCCATACTGTCAGCATCATCTTCGTTTCCCACCACACTTAGGCTTGCAACATCCTCGGCATTTCTGTCTTCCGCCGCTACAGTTGACCTGATAGAAACCATGGACTGTCGGCGACGTCTCGTCTCTCTGCTGATCTCTTCCAAAAGGATTCGACTCTGTTCTAGACGCCAGGCCTCGATCCTCTGTAGCTTGTGTGTCTCTTGCTCTTCTTCAACTCCCATCTCAAGCTGGGCTAGATCTAAACTCTCGCGGCGCGTTCGCACGCGCTTGGGGTTGAATCTCTCAAAGGCGTAGATCTGCTCCTGGACCTCAGGGCCATCTAGCCTGAAAGACCCCAAGCCATCGTGGGCAGGAAGCACGGGAGCACTCTGGGCGGCAGCGGCACCCGCAGAATGGGTATAGAGGCTCGGGACCGTCCGAAATTCGGGCAGATGGCTGTCAAGACTGTCGAGCTCGGCATCGTCTTCGCCCAACTCTTCCTCAACGGCACTCGAGTGCACGCCGGAATGTCGGGACTCGGTGTCGCGGGCTGAATGTACGAATGTGTTTAGGCTGCCTATGTCACTAAGCCTCGATCGGCCCGGCGTAGTGAGAGACTCGTCCTGTTCGCTGAGATACGACGTTGTTGTCGTGTCATCAGCAGGCTCGAAGAGCACCCACGAGTGGGAGGGGTCGGTAGCAGCTGGGTCCTCGACGTGGAGCTGGGGAACATCCCGCTCCTCCTCCTGCAAAGGACGGGCGGCACGCAGCTGAGACGGCCGCCTTGTAGGTTGATGGAAAGCCATGATGTATGATTTGTTTGACAAGTTGTGAGGTCGACGGTTTGAGGGAAGGAAGCAATCATAGGCCGGAGAGACAGGTAAAGTTGTGTTCGTCCGATAAGGAATGGGCGGACAATCACGATAAGGCCCCCCGGTCGCGATATCGCGGTGACGCCTCGGTAGCAGCGCCTAGTATTAGTAGCTTGGTGTCCGTTCGTAGTTTGACAAAGTCTCGAGGTCGAATGAGTAAAGCAAGGGGTTTAGCTTCGAGGCTGTTCAAGCATTCGTAATAGGAAAGAAGTCGACTGTCGGTCGGTCAGACGCAGGCCACGGCGGATATATGTGGCAGCAATCTACTGGGACCAACAAATGATAAGGGGGATGAAAAGGAAGAATGCGGGATGGAGGATAAGAGGGTAAGGGGCCTGGGGGGTGAGAGGGGTGGGCTCTCATGGGGGCCATGACGGATGGGTCTCTCTGTCACTGTCACCGATTAAGGCGTCACCGACTAAGAGCGGGCCAAGTACCGCAGTACAACCACCTACCACTTCGGCCATGTACCTTGCACCGATCGACGTTACGAGTAACCCCGAAACAAGTGGGCGAACTCGACGGAAGGGCGGAACAGGCGCGGTATTCTCAGACAACACACCTCCAACCAGGAAGGACGACTCGTCACAATGGCGCAGTAAGAAGAAAAGGGTAGAGATTGGAGGGGCGCACCACACATAGGACTGTACTACTGGAAGGAAGGGGGGCAGGCGGGTGAATGGCGCAAGGTCAGACCGGAGAGATAAGTGGACGAATGATGTGCTCGCGTGCGACCAGCAAGGGATCCAAGGGTAAACCACACCCAACTTCAAGGAACCTTTGACTTTGATCCATGAATCTGGGACATTGGCTCCGTACACTACAGAGAGACAGGAAGAAGGAAGTTGATGGGGGGGGGGGGGGGGGGCTCAGGTGCCCAATAGCCGGAGAGGGAAAAAAAAACATGACAAGGAAGTACAAGCTCCGGGTTTGCTGTTTCTGGGCTCCGAGGGGGAAAAGACAAGAAAAGAGTCATGGACTACCAAGCCCACCCGTCTACAATACTTCAGATGCGCCCTGAGCGGTAGACATGATGAGACATGGCGATAAGGAGCTTTGAACTCTGTTTGGTTTCCTGAATATTACATGTAGACTCTTCTGCGTTCGCGGTACCGGCTGGAACGGACTGAGGTGAGGTAATCCTCGTGTCATTTCTAGTACCTAGAGACCACCCATCTCATTCCTCTGGCTCTCAGTCCCCCATTCTCACCAACCCGTTTGGACAACTGTTGCATGCACCCCAGACCGGAGACCCGGAGCGCTGAGAGGCAACTTTTAAACACCAGACGGTGTCCAGTCTACCTCCTGCCTTCCGAGTGTGGTCCGACTCATGAAGAAAGTCAGGCAAAAGGTCACATTGGCGGCCATCTTCGCCCTCAATAAGTCAGGCCCATATGATGCATATTGACCCCCCCATTTGCGAATTTTGACAGAAGCAGCAGCGCCAGGTATCCCTTCCCAAGACAGCCCCCGCCAGCTTCATCGCGTAAATCAATGCCTTGGAATTTCGAGCCTTCGGCCCTTTGATGAGAGACCGGGAGAGACACGAATAATAATCATAATAACAATCATAGTAATAATAGTAATAATAATAAAAACATGAATGAAAAAAAGGAAATGGGACCAGAAATGGAAGAAGCACAGATTGTGATCGAATGCGCCATTCCATTCCGTCGTTCTCTCGAACGACTCTCTCGCCGTTGCCATCACACCCATCCCGACTTTCGGAGCAAGCACGGGAGGCTTCCCGCACTGCTCACGAGTCGTGCATCTCTGGGAGGTCAAATGTTCAAGGTACGAATACTGCCAACCGGCCGGACCTGCCTCGACCACAAGTACCAGAAAGACGTTCCAACCTTCTTTGGCGGCAACATCCCGACGGCCTCCAAGTCAGTCGCACTTGTCATCGAGTCCCCAAGCCCACAGAAGTCTCACCCCGATATCATCCGTTATTTCGACAACGTCATCAGGTCACCTGGGGGACCTGATCGCTACCCACCCCCTCCATCTTCCGCCTCTCTAGCGGTAGCCCACGTCTCCGAAGGTCGCTACGCACGGCCCTCTCCCTCCCTCGGTGTTGGCCGACGACTGCGATCCCATCTCATCTACACTAGGATCTCTGCCAAATCTTAATACGGCATCTGCCATTTGCATTGCATCTCTGGCGGATCGATGGTCGGTCTGTTCCTGCACTGGCTTACTAAAACTACATGCAGTACACCAAGGCAGTGCCGTAGTGAGAAGCCACCGCTCGTGTATAGTACCTGGGAAATTTTACTTCATGGCGTCCCCGATCCAGCCGTTGCGCTTCAAGCCCACGGTCTCTTCCCGAGCCCAGGAGAATAGAAAAGGGCGGCCAAGAGGATTGCCCACTTGGATTACGTACTTAACATTTGCCGCATCACAACAGTCGTTATTCGTCCGGCGTCAAACCGCGCTTTATTCCTGCTACCTAGGTACTCAGATGAAGGGGAACCCCCGCCTCTTCTCCCTTAGGGACTCTCTTTCTTATTTGAGACATCTGGGCGCAGTTGGGCAGATTAAGCTGCCAGCGTGACCTAGACGAGGACGCGCTCGCCCCCATGGTGTCATTCATTACCACGGGTGATCCAAGGGCCAGACCGTCCACCACGATATTTTCACTCGATACGCATGATTTGAAATTGGCATCATCCTGGCTTCAGCCTCAAGTTCACAGCCAACTACATCTCTCGGAGAGAATGTCATGCAAATAATCTTTAGCCATGTAATAGCCTCCGTCGTTGGGTAGGCCGCTTTTCGAAGCCTGCTTACGAACCTGACATTCCACTTCTCACTCGCTATAAAGATGCAAGTGCATGTTTGTCAAGTACCAATGATTGAATTCCTATCTAGAGTCTGCCGCAGCATGACTCCCATCATGTTGACATGCAACCACTTTAGACGCCAGCCGGTAGAAACCCAAATCCCAGAAGAAACACGAATCCCACACCTTAAGCCTCAGAGGCGAAGGCATCGGGGAAGCGCTTCATGTTCTGCTCGAGAGAGCCGTGATTGGCGAGGAACTGGACGTAGGCACCGTCGACCTTGACGCGGCCAGCAGCCTTCTTCTCGAGGTACTCCTCGCGACGAAGGGGGGTGAAGCCCCAGTTCTTGGAGATGATGATTTTCTGGCGACCAGGGAACTTGTACTGGGAGCGGCGGAGGGCCTCGAGGGCAACGGCCTTGTCTGTAGATTTGTTAGACATCGCACAACAGTAAAAAGGGACAGTTTCGATAGCGAACGTACTGGAGTCACGAGTGCGGACGCTCATGATGATCTGGCCAATGTTGACACGGGCGACAGTGCCGTTGGGCTTACCCCAGGCACCACGCATACCAGTCTGAAGTCTATCGGCACCAGCGCAAGACAACATCTTGTTGATACGGACGACGTGGAAGGGGTGGGCGCGGACGCGGAGGTGGAAAGACTCCTTTCCGGCGGTCTTGACGAAGTACTTGTTGGCGCAAATACGGGCGGCCTCGAGGGCCTCGGAGCTCAGCTGCTCATACTCGTTGGAGACCAAGTGGATGCAGAGAGGGAAGTCATCGACGGTCGCCTTCTTGCGTCCAAGATCGAAGATACGGATCTTGGGGTCGGGCACACCACGGTTGAAGCGGGACTTGGGGTACGGCTAAGAGGGAGGCCAAGTCAGCATCATTGTTCCAGGCGCGTGGGAAGGCATTCCCAAGCCCTATGGCATCCTCGCTTTTCCATCTCAAAGATTGCGCATCGTCGTCATCGTGTCCGTTGGCCTGGTCTATGATCTGACACAGATCCTCCTCCTAGTGCCACCCTTTCTTCATTTCCTCTTCTTTCGATGCGCAAAAGTTGTCGTGGAATTTCGGAGGTCATCGGAAGGGGCCAGGGTGTGATGGAGTCGGCTCACCTTGTTCTTGCAGTACCGGTAGCAACGAGCGGGACGACGGGCCATCTTGACGGTATTGAGATCTCACGGGATCACTCGTTACGCTGTTGGTGGTTAGTTAGTTGATGGGTGTCAAATCCGACCGAAATTTGGGCGTCACTCACTTTTGTAAAAGTTACTACGATGCGTCAATCCGAGACGCAGTTTTGATTTCAAAGCACCCGCTGGGTAAGCAAGCGGTGGCCAAATCGGACCCACTCTGGGCTCGCGTAATTGCCGCGTTAGGGTTTCAACGCAAGCCAGACAAGAAGGGAGGTGGCTAGCCGACCTGATTGGCTGCATCGGAGCGACTCGGTGCGGGGCAGTGTTCACTTGAGCAAAACTAAACCATCAAAATTTCACAACTTGACGATTTCCTCCCGCGACCATCGACGACAACCACCGCCCAGCGCCCATCGACCAAACCAACCGCCAATTCCCCCCCAAAAATCAGTCAAGATGGCCCCCGTCAAGAAGAACAAGAAGGACCAGTAAGTCACCATTAATTCTTCACACCCGCCGAATTAGCGCCTCCAAATCGGGCTCCTGGGGACTTTGGTTGTAATATTCAAGTACTAACGGCACAAAAAAAAGGAACTCCATCAACTCCAAGCTTGCCTTGTAAGTTAGACAACGAACGGCGATATCTCGAGATAGTCATACTAACAACTACCAGGGTCATCAAGTCTGGCAAGGTCATTCTTGGCTACAAGTAAACGCACACCGACATTGAATCCCTACGACCGTCAATTAACCAGTCCACAGGTCCACCCTTAAGTCCCTGCGCACCGGCAAGGCAAAGTCAGTCACTTGTTCAACCGCGATGCGCAAGAAGACTTTGCTAATATCTGCTCCTTAGGCTCATTCTCATCGCTGGCAACACCCCCCCTCTGCGCAAGTCTGAGCTCGAGTACTACGCCATGCTGGCCAAGACTCCTGTCCACCACTTCAGCGGCACCAACGTAAGTCTCCCCCCAATCGACTGGAGCAAGCGTGTGCCCCACGTTTTGCCACCGGTCTCGTGGGCCACTGGTCCCTTAGTCAACCCAGCGAAGAAGTCTCGGTTTAGGCTTCGGAGGGTGAACAATTGCTTACTTGTTGAACGGAATAGATTGAAATGGGTACTGCCTGCGGTAAGCTTTTCCGCTGCGGCACCATGGCCATTCTTGATGCTGGTGACTCCGACATCCTCAGCGACCAGGTCGCTTAAGCGGATGAAACAAGGATTGGCTGGTAACGGCGTTTGGGAACATGGTCAACGAAAAAGGGAAAATGCGATTCGCCATTTGGAATCGTGGCTTGGGATTTGCCGTTATGATACCTCGGTCTTGTCATCAGAACAAGACTTTTTGATGTCCGTAGGCTCTTTGAATCGAAAAGACTCGCCTGTTACCCAGCCATTCAATGGAGCTCCAATTATGTTTGCCCCTCTGTTCTGCCTGGTTTTTTCCGTCTAGGCTCATGTTCTACTGCCTTCTAAAGTCCATGTCATTGTCAAGACCTAATTCGGATCGAAGTGTATACATGAAGGCTGAACAGAAGATATTGTGGGAAGATGGCCCGCCCACATTAGGAAAATGAATAATCCGTCCTTCCTCGTCTTGTTACTGCAACATCGGCATAACCACAACTAGGTCAACTTGGAAAGGGCGCCTGGGCAGGGAACCTGACCTAGACATGACCGCTGGGCGCGGTGGATGCCGTCGGGCTGGTCAATGGCGGCGGGGTCGGCGGTGTGTTGATCGGGTTTTTGGATTCCGGATCTGGAAGGCTGTCACAGGTCTTGCATTGATGAGAACATGAGGATAATTTCACCGTTCCCACCACAGTGAGTTCTGGCCAGTGTTGCGCAAATTGTCATCGAATGGGCCAGGGGGACACCCTTGGATACAAACCACAAAGACGGGCCGAGCCCATCGATGAGGATATGCTCCGCAATACCTCTGCTTGCCGGTCACAGAGCCGATATACATCTTACGGAGGACCCCTACCCAGTGCATGTTCAAGGCTGGACGGCTTGACGACTCTCCCAAGACGCTGGCAACCAGAAGGCATATGCCCAACTAAAAGCAAACAGTGCAAGCCGATCAAGAGTCTGTACTAAGGGCAATGCCCCGATCTTCCAGGCAGCGAACGAGAGTCTTTCAGCAAGAGATCAGAATGCATCTTACTTCTTTCTGCTCGCTGATAGCGGTAGTCTACAGTGTGTCAACACATGTTGTAATCATTATCGAGAAGGCCATGCGAGATGTCATTGAACTGGCGCCCACTATTAGACGCTGTGGATTTTCCGCAAGTTTACTCGTTTGTGCAGCTTACTCGTTTGTGCAGCAGAAGGTTCCCGTTGTCCCCGCAAGGCACGCCCAGTCCGGACCTGGAGGGGTTGCCACCACAGAAAAGAAGGTTGTCATTCGTCCCATCTCATCAAAAGGGAAGACAAGACGAAGACGGCGTGTGGCACCAGCCATCGTCTCCCACCACCATCCACCAAAGCTGCGAGCGCTGGGCTTCCGAGAGACGGAACTGAAACGAGCGCTCGCGGCGGGTTACCTCGGGCTCATCCTACAACAACAGTCTCAGCTCAGCAGCGAGAACAGGATCGGTCAAGAATAGGTAGCATACTACGTACGCATGGCACGTCACGTATCTTAGCATAAGGTTGTGTTTGCAATCTACCACCACGCTAGGGCTGGATGACTAGCCATCAAGAAAATAGGTAGGCTTCTTGTATGACCCGGGGGGGGGGGGGGGGGGGGGGGTGAATCTGTTCGTTCTGCAGTGCCCGAGCGACGCGGGAACCGCTTAGTGGTCGGGGTTGGAATTTGGAGGAGGGAAAAAGCATTGTTCTCGTTCCATTTCCCGTTCTCTGGTTGGCCCGCGTCCTCCGTCTTGAGCATTTTAGCGAATTAGACCCCCTGGAGCCGCCCCGAAATATCGGAAATTCACTGCAACCTGTAGACTGGACAACCGACACCGACACACGCATGCATACGGCACCCGCACGCTGCCATCCTGGACTCCTCCCAGGATCTAACAGGCCAACGCAAGGGAAGTGAGAGGAGCCACAGAACCTACTTGCCGGGGCTACAGCCGTCCGACACTGACTTAAGCTTGCGAAGCTGCTGCTGCTGCTGCTGCTGGGCTGTTGCACACCCTCCCATTCTGCACCGCACTCCTACACCACATTGCAGACCTATTTGGCATCCGCATTAACTGGGCAGCCCAACGATCGACAACTCTCTGCTGTTGTGTGTTCGTTCCCGCGCCACCTGTTGTTCCAGGAATAAGCAATTTTACACACACACACACACGCGCGCTCACACACACATCTGGTAAGCTAGCCTCTTCTCTCTCTGAAACGGAACATCATCGCTACAGGAATAACTCCCGGCCCTGCACCTCGACCGCCGTCTTTTAATCGCTCGACAACTCCCCGCTTACTTTTTCCCAATTTATCCAGGTTACCCTTAGCTGTGAAGTGCATCAACAACAACAGTCATCGTCACAACAAGGCACCCGCGACGACCATGTCTGCTGCCACCGCAAAGAAACCGCCCGCTGCGGGCGTCGGTCGCGTTTCTTCGACGGATCCCGCAACGTCGCCTTCTGCGTCTCCCGCAAGAACACCCACGCGGTCTTCCACGCCCACCGCTGCTACTGCTGCGCGCAGAGCACCAGCTCGGTCGGGGACACCTGTATCTGCCCGGGCAGCAGCCGCCTCGAGAAGGAATTCCATTATGGGCAACAGCAACAATAGCGGCAACACCGAAGCCGAGGAAGCTGTGAGGGCTGAGACCGTTGCGCTGCTGGACGACCTCAAGGAGCGTCTCTCCAAGGCCGAGGTCTCTTCCGATCAGTACAGAAAACAGGTCGAAGTGCTGCAGACGAGACTGGACGATGCCATCAAGGAATCTTCCAAGCTGGAGGAGAAGGTGCATGAGGCGGAAGAGCAGATCGAAACGCTGCGAAAGGAGAAGAGGGATGCCGCCAAGAAGATGCGTGAAATGGAGGCTATCTACGAGGCCGAGCGAAGCTCAATGACCAAGGAGAAGGAAGAGATGTCCAACAGAGAGGAGGAGATGCAGGCTATTATCCAGAGACTAAAGGACACCCTGTCGCAACGAGCTAACGACGAGGAGGGTCGCCCATCGCGGCAATGTGAGTTTTCGTCACGCCACGACCGAGAAATCAAAGACTAACAAGACCAAGCTGCAACATCTTCACCCAACATCGACAACGGCAGCTTTGCTCCCCCTTCTTCATTGAACCGCAGCGACTCCCGGAACAATTCTAAGATCTTGCTTCAGAAGGACAAGCTGATTGAGTCATTGAGACTCGAACTGGCAGAGGCCCAAATCAAGCTAGTGGAGTCCGAGAACCAGGGCGGCGGCAGGTTGCAGGAGGTGGAACGGCTGCTGATGGAAGCCCGCATGGCCAATGCCCGTCTCATGGAAGACAATGAGAGCTATCAACTGCTGCTCCAGGAGAAGACTCTCAACGGCGATTTCTCTAAGAACGATTTTAGCTACATGAGTGCATCCGCCAACCAGGACGCGCTCAATGCGCTCGAGGGCCGGGCTCGCGGTGCGAGCTTGGCGGACGAGCTGTCCGATGATGCATCTGACCCTGGCAATGATAACGAACATGTCCGCCGCCTTGAGTCAGAGGTCAAGTCCATGAAGGACCAGAACAAAGCGCTCACGCTCTACATCAACAAGATCATTGAGAGACTCCTCCAGCACCAAGATTTCGAACACATTCTGGACACCTCCAGCGAGCCCAAGCCACCAGGCGCCAACACCAACAAAGATCTCCCGCCGCCACCGCCAAAGGAGGGCGCTTCCGGAGCTTCTCTGCTTCAACGGGCGAAGACCATGGCCGCCGGCCCGAACAAGCCCAGACCAAGACCTATGTCATACATGCCTTCGGCGCAACCAGCCAACTCGGCCCATACCGATCCGGAGACAGCACCTCGCATCCCCATCGGGAACCTGACCCGTTCCTCTAGCACCCGTCGTGCGCGCCCCATGAGCGAGCAGTTTACTGGCGTCAACTTGGTCAACCAGATGTACAGGGGACCGGACGGCCCCATCTCCCCGCCGCTTGGCTCCCCTCGCACTCCGCGAACTTCGCAGACCTTTATCAGTGGCAACCCCCACGTCGCAGCGCGGGCTCCCAGCGGTCAGCAGGCACCGACCGCAGGAAACTTCCCTGGGATGCGCAGCGATACGTCGAGCACGAGCGGTGACTCGAATGACCTGACCACGCCTCCCTCGCAGTCGCCCCCGCGGTCCCACCATGAAAAGCAGACCACATTTGCGGGTAACAAGCCCCGCCCTCTGCGTCTGGTACAGGAGAACAACGAAACCAAGCAGGAGAACAACAAGCGATCCAGCTGGATGGGGTGGGCCTCAGGCTGGGGCAAGAAGGACGAATCCCCCACGGCCTCATCCAACGAAGCCATTCCCGAGTAATTGACAAACGAATACGCCGTTATGTTTATGACCTCCTCCCACGCTATGCAACGTATCATCTTCTCTTTCTCAGTATCGGATTTTGGCATTATTGGGTAAGGGAAAGAGAAAAATAAGAGAGAAAACAAGACGGGATACCCCTCTTATTTTCCCTGCGGCAAGGGCTTTCTTGGTTGGGTCTCGACGTCCGCTGCTTGGTTTATTTTTCTTTCCTCCCCTTTCCTCCATACGCGGATCTAGGCTGGCATCGCAGGTAGTGTACGAACGAAACGTTGGCTCCGGAGGCGCTATGCATCTAATTCTGCAGATGTTTATTGTTTACTTCTACTTCCCTTTTCCCGTTGCCACGTTTATTATCATTTTATTATTCGACACACCACATCTATTACTTCAGGGGTTTCCTCTTGGCGGCCGAGTGTGAGGAGGAAGGCAGGCACTGTTTAAGGGTCTTAGGAATGCGAATGAGGAGGTGGTTTTTTTTGTTATTTTTTTGCGTTCGTGGTGATTTTAGTTTCTTTATCATGATTAACAGCATTCTAGTGGGTGTTGGATTATGATGATGGGCGCGTCTACTTCCTACGAATGGCTTTGCGGACTGCCGAGTCGCCTCGCGCCTGTAACCTAGCTGAACGCAATGTTGGATAGATATATGAGTAATGCAGAGATGGCTCGACGTTTCAATGGTACTCCATTTGCCCATGAAACTTGGTGCGAACTGAGGCAACACAACTGTCTATTCATCCCCGGGTTTGTGAGCTGCAGATATGACAAACTCCATAAAGGGCAACAGCTTCCATTGCTAACTATTTGTCTCGACCTTCAGTGAAGTTGGAATACGAATGAAGGCTCTTCCTCTCCCTCTATCTCACGCAAAAGAGCACGAGCTGGCTACTTGATATTACAAACGAAGCTCTGTTGCCGGCGGCGATAGCCACTAACAGGGAATCGCCTCGTCAGTCACAGATGATTACTTCTTCTATTCATTGAATGATTTCCTATATGTAGTAGGCTTTTTTACGAGCGGCTGTTGCCGCCGACGAAGGCGTCAAGCTTCTCCTGGTCGTAGACGTCCGCCTCGACCAGTTTTTCCCACTTCTGACGCTCGCTTGTCAGCACCGTCGCCACGCTGGGGCAATGGAGAGTCGTGAGGCAGAAGAGGGGGCGGTCCATCGCTCTCTGCGCGTGTGAGAGGGGGGGGGACTCACCTTCTCTCCAGAAACCTTGATCAGCGTCGGCAGGTTCGTGACGTTGAACGGCGCCTGTCTCCACGGGTTCTCCTTCGTCCTCCACCTGCGGCCCGGAGTCAGCAACAACAAGATGAGGCACCGACATGACGGGTACCAGCAATAATCACGTTTTCATCCACTCATTTGAGCCCCTGCCCAGGGCGTGTGGCGGAACGAAGGCCGAGGGGAGGGCAGTCTTGGAATAAAAGGAAAAGGAACCTAACTCACTCCTCAGGCAACCCCGCGTAGACGACACGGACAGTGAGCTCGTTACCGCCAAACTTCTTCTCGATGTACGGCTCGGCCGCGGTGCAGTCACCGCACCACGAGCGCCCGTTGCGGTGGGAGGCGTAGACGACGAGGTACGCTGGCTTGGCCGCGCTGGCCTCGGCCTTGAGGGACTCGGCGATAGCCGAAGCGGGTTCCTTGGTGGTAATGATGGGCATTTTCTTTTGTCAGTCTTGTTGTTGCTGCTGTTGTTGTGAGGAAACGTAGACAGAATGTTTATCGAGCTTGAGAAGAGTCAGTTTCGTTCTTTCCTTTCTAGTCTGGCTTAAAGGCAAGTAAGTAGTAATATTAAGCCTGTCTGATATGACTTGCTGTGGGCAGTGAGAGTGGCATAATCCAAACACTCATTTGCGTTATTTGTGACGGCAGCAAAATATGTCCCGAAGCTTAGCCGAATCTCGAAACGGGTCACTAACTTTGAACAAACCACTGTTTGTGGGATATTCAGCAGGTTGTTTGCTGTGTAGCTACTTGCTACTTACATTACTTGTCTACTACATGCTTTCAAAATGGCTTGATGACCTACAAGTAAAAATAATCACGTGGATGACAACTGTGAGATTCGAACTCACGCCTCTTTCGAGACCAGAATGCTCCCTGGTGTGCAGGGAAGACGCAAGTCCTTGAACGAACCGGTATCTTGAGTCTGGCGCCTTAGACCGCTCGGCCAAGTTGCCCGCTTCTCATCACCCTCACAATCGAGTGGGTCAGATGTGGATGTTGGGCTGG